AAGCCCCCCCCTTCCCCCCCCCCCCCCCCCCCCCCCCCTTCCCTGGCGCGCCATATGCGTACTGCACATTGGCAGTGCAGAAACTTACTTGTTGCTTGTTGCGTACACATGGACTCTTGAATATTTAGAGTAGACCTTTGTTTGCACCCAGGCAGTGCGTCGTCACAACAGCAGATTCCCCGTCGGGAAAAACACCAGACGCAAGTGTGCCCTTTCTGGAATGTGTTAACAGTAATGGTGCTCGCACGTTTGTTTTTTTTTGGCTGGCGCTTCAGCATTGGGAGCGTCTCATACATTTGCTCAAACGCGTGTGCAATTCTGATAGCAGGGAGTAGGTTCCCGAAGCCCCCCTCAGAAGTGGTTAACAGCACAAGTTTTTATCTTCTGGCTGCACTCATGAATTGCGTCTTCAAGATATCAAGAGACAGCTCAGCCTGCTGGTTACTCTGAGTGCAGGAGGTGAGCCACAGGGCTTTTTTCAGGGGTTGGGGATTCAGTAGTTGGGTTTAGGGTTGGCTGCTACGTATTGCTTGTTAGGCTGCTGATGAGCATGAGAAACGAACTGCAGAGCCTAGTGGTCTAGGCCAGCCAGAAGGATGCTGCTTATCTTCTCTCTCTCCTTTGTGTGGCCGGAGGAGTCAAATGCGGATATACCCTCAATCTGAAAGAATTTCCGGGGCACTAAGAGTCCTGCAGAACACACGAGCTGTACGGCGCGCATTTTGAACACACGACCCATCACGAGAACAGAAAGTGCGTGCTTTCGATTCCCAGCTGTCCCAGCAGTAGAATTGCTGTTGCAAACAATGGACTACGGTATTGCATATGCCGACGGTTACTAGCAAGTGCTTAGGAGACGTCCAGTGGTTTGTCCTGGCTTCCACACAAATGATCACAACAGCCGTATGGAGACGGCTGGCATATGGAGTTTGCTCACAGGGCTTGGTGATGTTTGGCGCGTAGGGACTCCAGTTCGTGCGTGCTTGTCGAGTCCCGTGTGGAGACTTTTCCTGTAGTAGGCATGTAGCTCTTTTAGTACACCTCAAATTTCTAGTCAGAATTTAAGGGCATGCAAGGGCGGTGTGCGCATCATATTGGCTACGTCTTTTGTCTATGCCGGAAGCCGTAACTTTATGTTCCACTTCCCACAGAGTGCGTGACTGCCTGCAGTCGTTGCCTGCTGGGGATTCGCTGCCTGCAGGTGGTTCGTCATCTTGTGTTGCATCAGCCTCTGGGTTCGAAACGCCAACGCTGACTTACATGTGACCCTCTATTGCTGCTGTGGCTGCTGCACTGCAGTTGGTAGTTTACATATCTGGTTTCGCCACACCATACGCGAAAGCTCGGATTACGGATTCGAAACGAGCACGTTTACGCTCCTAAAGCATGGCCTGTTCAACTATATTCTCCAGGACGTAGGTGCTCGCTCTCGTTCGCCAATCGTTAGCATTTTCTCTTGTTCATGTACTTTCACACCTCCGCATAAGACCAAATTACGGGTGATTGACTCCTATGCGTGTCCTGGTACGTATCCTGTGACTGGAACATCTGAAATTGGGATTTACGGTCTACGGATTTGGGTTTGTGCGTACGAGTAATGGCAATGAACCCAACGGCAAAACACCAGGTTTTGCGCGTACTTCTGCAGCAAATAGCATTACTTTACATTGCTGATGAGCTCACATTCATTCATTGCATCGTCAAGCACCTTGATAGCTAGTGCGTCCTATGTCAAGAGAGACAATCACTACACATGCGCCCTGTATAGTTGAATGGAGTGTTTGTGTGCAAGCACCCAAAGCCAAGGCCCAGTGCTGTTTCGACGCATGTGCTCAAAACGCGCTGACCCTGGCTTGCGGCAATGGCCCTTTTGGCAGCCCATACATAAAACCGCATGCCACCCTGCGGCTGTAAAAGCAGATCGTGTGTCATTTTTTGCTGCGATCGTCCTTTCCTGCATGCGTTGGGTGCTGCATTTGTCTGCTCTTGCATGCATTGTTTGCATGAAGCTTGCTAAGAGGCTTGATGCTACTCTGCTGCTGTAGTATTCTTACGAAACGATTTGTTGCTGAAATCTGTCGTGCAGGATGTCCACAAGCCGGAGATATTGCTCTCTGCTTCAGTTTGACCCCTCCAAAAGAGTTTAGCACAACAAAGAAGGTGCGCCCCACTTTTCAGCAACCCCAGTTTTCGCTCCTATTGCTGTTGCTTCATCTGCGTACTGTAAGCGTAGTACTCTATTTCGCATAGCTACCCATGAGGTGTCTCTTATCGGGGTCTGTTGACAGTCGCGTGACGAGGCACCGAGCCCCGAGCCAGGTGGCTCGGGGGTGTTCGCTGTTCTGCGAGCACGGCGATATGAAACATCAATTGCAAGGCGGGCCCATCAGTCGCTGTCTACTCGCAGGGAGTGCGTTAGGCAGGCGCCTGCAAGCTGTACGTTGCTTTGGGGAGGAGATGTAAGAGGCTGACCATGCAGGAGATGCGATTAGCTATTATTAGGTCGGGACGTTTTCGCTTAAAGCTACGCTTGTTGCGGGAATTAGCCCAACGGCTCACTACACGAGCTCACTGCTCGTTTCATCTTTTCCTGATAACGATATTATTGTACCAGCAGTGCATATTGCCACTCACAAGGCTTGCAATTAACACAATAGCGATTTCATGGGCAGCGTGCGTTTGTTTTGGGTGATGTGTAGCTAGTAGGTCTTGGAGGCTTCGAGAGTCACCAGCAGTAGCTGAAACGCTGGCGTTGTTTTGGGTGCAACTCGTGTTGCTTTCACGTCGCTGGATTTATGGTCATTATGGCGTTCGCATTGTTCTTCTGTATGTTTGGTGGGTAACCCAGTTGCATGCTCTCTGCCCAGGCCGTATCACGAGCTCTCCGAGGTTCTTGAAGCCGTCGACCGAATATGTGCTCCCTCGCTTTTTTTCTCATAGGCAGTGAGCATCAACCATGCAGAATCTACAGCCCGCTTGACGAGTTGCACAGCGCTTTTCTATCATGATGTGCAGAAGGCATACGCTGAGGCATAGACGACCACATTGACTCCGCGTTGGGAACCAAGGCCCCTCGCATTTGGCGCTTGCAAAGTCAGGGTTCAGTGTTTAGGTTTACACTGCATATGGTGCAGTCTAATACGTCATCATATTGTTTTCTTTCGATTTGCGCCGCCTTGATATGCTCTCACCAGCACTGTGCTGCTTCTCTTACCGGTTTTCCACATGATTGATACGCCGTTAAGAAGCTTAACAACTCCAGCATTCGCATGTGTACGTTATATGTATAACATATATACATCCTATGGATGTGCGTGTACAATTATGTGAATGTGCATGCATCAAAAAGATGTGTTACAATATCCGTATGGGAGCAGCACTGCTTCAAAAACACTTTACACAGCTGGAAGCTCTTTGAACTGCCGTACACCGTTCAATATCTGTCAAACCCTAAGCCAAGTCAGCCTTTAAATCCTCACACCCTAGCCCTTACTGCCTTGAGGCCCGATCGCCTACTCCTAGACTGAAAGCCTCCGTTTGTCCGTTAGGGCTGGTGTCGAACAGTGAGTAAGCTGGGTGCCATTTTCACAATTCTGGCTGTAGGCTTCCAACTTCGGGCACCTAGTTGAATATTCACTATTCATCTAAAGGCGAAAGCAAAGGCAAAGGCAAAGCTCCTCAACACGACACACCTGGCCTTGGCCTGGTGACAACTATCCCCCAACAACTACGACAACTATCTCCTCGAATCTATTATTTGTCAATTTGTCAAGCTGCACGTCGCTGTGTGTTGCGCCTTTGTGTGAAAGTAAGCACAAACTGTACTCAATGCTCTTAGAATAGAATGAACAAGCCACGCATTACGCCATGCAACAGGTGGTGGCGTAAGGCGTTTAGCCGATACAAAACAGATGAATATCTCGAAATATTCTCAAATGAATAAAAGAGGCTGGACCTGTAATGGTGGGTAGACCGTTCCTAACAATACGAGCAAGCGCACGCGAGCAAACGAAAATATATTGATGTGCATTTGCCCCTGTTACCAGAGGTCAACTCAATGCCGAAGGAAACAAAAAACGACGCGTGTCTATATATATGCCAATGTTGCTGCTGTTAGCGCTCGCGCTGCAGCAGCAGCATACGCCAATGCGGAGATCTAAACCGTAAACCTCTTCTCCTCTAGTTCAATCAGTCTTCTCTGAATCCTGCCGAAAATTTCCATCCCTTTCATCTTCCTCATCCCCGTCCAAGTACCGCTCCTGCAACCTTTCAATTCTGCTCACGTAACCGCAGCCGCAAAAGCATCCGAAACACAATGCGCATGTGATAGAAAATACATGTGATAGAAAATACCACATCCTTAGCAACAGCAATAGCAGCTGTACGAGGGCCAACAGCAACATAAGAAGTAACAGCTTTTCTAACAGCAACGGCAAGGGCAACAGCAGCAGCAGCAGTAACGATAACAGCTGCAGTAGCAGCTTGGAAAAAGCCACCGCTGCAGCTGCAACAGCGGAAATATCACAGGATGTGGAGGGGTTGGCAAGGCAATGAAATTACAGATTCTGTCTTTCTTCTTCTGTATTTAGCTGCAACGGGTATCCAGTCCGATTCTCCGTGTAATTCCCCAATGCGAAGCCATTAGCTGTGTCTGCTGTTCGTAAAGCCAGCAACATGCACTCCTTGTCTGTTACCGCTACGGGTAGGAATGAAACGATACTGTCAACAACACAATTCACACAATTCAACAGCATCGTTGAGGCGATTAAAGCAACGCAACTCAGGGATTCAACAACTCAATGCAAACGACTGGAGCAATTCAACAGTACAATAGCAGCTATTGGACGACGCAACCAACGAAACTAAACTGTATCACAGAACCAGTTCGCTAATAATTCAAACAACACAATTCAAAAACCTCAACAGCGCAGCTCGAGAACTTCAACACAATTCACATATGCCAACAGCGCACGTCAAACTACTCTGTGACACAAATCAAGCATCCCAAACAAGCCAACGAGAAGCCAATTCAAACAACGCACGAACGGCGCTACTAAGGCAATTCAACGGGATAACAATTTGGAAAACTCAAACGGAAAATTCAAACCCATCAGCAAGACAATTCAAATTAATATCTGCTCCATCTTCCTTACTTAAAATCTTCAACCAATTCGCACACTTCGCGCGCGAACCCCAGAAGCTTTTGCTGCACGATAGAAAAAAAAAAACATCCAGAGTACAAATGAAGTAAGAGGACTACATGCCATGCTTGTCACTAATATCAAAACTCAAGGCAGCCGCGAGCGTCCTGCCGTTCCTCAGTCGAAACAAGAACTAAACAAGAGAAGGCAAAACGCAGACAGGAGTGGCTGCTGAACACAGGCACACCCTATCGCGTTCTCTTGCGAAGGCGTTTATTGTCTCCTATACGTATGGAGTGTAGAGCAGCAGCAGGAGCACCAGGAACAGCAACAGCAGCAGCGGGGATAGCTGCAGAAGCAGCGGCAGCAGCAGCCACAGCCGGCTCCTGTCTTACCCCCACAGGATGAGGGTCTCTCCCCATCGTCTGCAGCAGCGCCTGGACGTCGTAGGCATCCGCGTAAAACTCCAGAGGAAACTCTGCAACGAATGAAAAGAACATTGCTGCTGATGTTTTTGCTGTTTTTGTTGTTTATATTGCCTCACTGCACCCCATAGTGCAGTTGCGTCTGGTGGTGCTATTGTTGTTCCTGTTGCAGGACTCATCCCCTCTACCGGTTCTGAAGGTTTGTTGCAATCTCTAAGCAGTGCAAGGACCATCGACCTGAATATAAATGCTGCTCTCTGTATATGTATCTCGGGGCATCTCCTCAAACATGAAAACATAAGAACACTGCTTGCCCATCGAGGTCAGAAGGAGAACCGGCAACACGCCGCCTTTGCAGGCGCAGCATTTACCCGAGCAAACAAAGGAACATATAAGCACACAAATAAACAAATCCAACACAAAAAACAATAAACAAGCGCGTAATAGGTGGACAAATATGCATAGTGCTCCCGGACGGCATTCTTACTCAAGTCCTTTCGATGATGGCGTAGGAGGTCGATTTTCGACAAAACATTGATATGAGGCAACTCCAGCTGCAACTGGGCGTACAGGGCCATCAGCAGCGCACTGATGTGCTGCAACAGAAACAGCAACATCACCAAAAACAGCAGCACCGTAAACGGCAACTCCGAACCAGAGCGGGCCAATTGTGCGCATTTATCGTAACGACTGCTGCTGCTTGCGAGGATGATACTGCTGCTGCTGATGTTGTTGTTGCTGCTACTGCTGCTGTGGCTTCTCACTTTGAATGTATCAGTGCAAAGCGTACTGTCCAAAACTTGAACCGCCGCCATCTGCAACAACCAAACCCCAAATAGTCGTCCCGATGTTGCCCAATAACGAAACCGCAGGCCTATGCTGTTTCTCGTGAGGATGGTGAACCTGCTAGTGCTCCTTGGCTGCCTCTGCACCGGTTTGCTACTCCTGCCCTTCCATTTCCCTCCTCAGCTGACCCTAAAATCCAGTTTTTCGAGGTGTCTGATGATTGTACGCAGGGCCTCGTGATGTGTGAACAACTCGACTTGCCCAGGGCAATCGATCAGAACATAATAGTCTGGAGACGCAACAGCACCAGAACCAGCGGCGAACACAAAGCAACTAAAGAGCAACGCACAGGAGTAGTTTTTTAGCAGCCGCAAGCACAACTCCCCTCAGAGCAACAGCAGATACAACAGCACGAAGGCTTAAGCCACCGGAAATGCTCATATGCTAGAAACGCCAACCTCACTAAAGGTGCTAAACCGACGAATGCACAGCAGCCACAGCGATACCCGAAGCAGCAGCAGCGTCAGCAACAGGAGAAGAGAGAACAGCAAGTGTTGGCAGTTGTTGCTAACTCCGCCATTTTACTTCATTTTAGTTCCGTTGCTTAAACTTACTTTTGTACTTCTTTAGTTTCTCCACCAGCCAGTCGACGTTCTCCAACAAGAACTCCATGCAATAAATCATAGCTGCGCATACACCCCTCACTACGTGCGCATACATTCGTGCGCATTAAAGACTACCTGATGGAAATGTATACGCAGAGGGGGCAGCAGTAAAAGGCGAGGAGCTGATGGCAGAAAACCAGAAGTTACAGTCAACAACCAAAATAGATGAGAACCGTCATATACGCAACACCAACAAACACGTGATATGAAGCAAGAAAAGTGTGCGATGAAGGCATAGCAAGAGAGAAGAAGCAGCAGCAGTATGTGGCAGCTTTGTTGTTGCCGAAAGTGTACCACCGTTCGGTCCCAGCTGGTGTTTCTTCATTACATCTGTTCCTTTAATAAGATCCATTACGTCCACCGCGCATTCGTAAGGCAACAAGTCATTCATCGGGTCGAGGTTCACAATAATATGCTGTCGCTCCAGCGCCGTCAAGAGCTGCTGCATGCCGAAGCAGTAGCTGCTCTTGCCGCTGCCTGGTGGCCCTATCACGATCTGGCCGTACCACATGATGTGCTGATTGTAAGGAGGGGAGAAAGAAAAGAGAAGGGAAATGCAGTCGGAAAACGGAGAAGAAAAACGCCTCTTTGCTAATGTAGGCACTACCTACAAAAAGCTGCGCAGACACCTAGCGCAAACAACAGGTGAAGAGAAGGCTGAAGTCCGGGAATATGTTAAAACACATGCAACACGAGCCACAATCTCTGCTAAAGCAGATCACAGGGGATGATGCTGCTCTCTCGAAGAGATTGCTTCCGTTGCTGCTGCAGTACTCGTTGTTCTCGTTGCCGTTGCTGTTGTTGCTGCTGCTACGTTGCTGCAGCTTCAACGGCACGACAAAATGCAGAAGAGGTCCATATTCTAGAGGCTGATGGGGGTTGTATCTATTCGTGGCATTTCTTGAAGGGCTTGTAATCGATGCGGTTTCAGGTGTGCGAAAGAACACAGGCGGTTTAGTCAATGCCTCTGCAAAAATATCTATCTATAGGCAATCAAACAGCAAGATATAATACCATAAAACTCTAGGTTTAATCAAGGAGGACAATAGAAGGAATGCGCTAAGAAACGAGTGCGCTTTGCCGACAACTACGAGCAAGGGGCTGTTCTTACGCAGCTGCAGCCCCAAATGGTCTTCAACGGTCCACAACTTGTACATGTTGTATAATATCGACAGGAAACCCCAGAGAAATGAAATTTTGAGTGTATTTTTGATGCGTCTAGCCATTGCTTATTATTATCTAACAGACATATTTTCGTGTATTTTGTATACGGTATATCTACAGCGCTGAACACTTAGGCAACTGGAGGCGAAAGAGAGGACTCGAAGCGCTGCAGAGAATGAAATGGAGCATTTTCGAACAACAGGGTATCAAAATGAAGGAAATTTCAGGTGTCGTTTCAATTAACCCTGTCAAATGCCTTTTCATTATAGTCTTTTTGTTCTTATGATGCTGTACAACACGTGCTCTGTGTTGCGTAGCGACAGCGTAGTTCCGTTGCACGTGTGTGCCAAGATCGGAAGAGAAACCAGACGACACCACATTATTGGGTCGAATCTGGCATTACGTTTTTGAATCAATCGTTTTTAATTGTATTTTTCAGTGTACATTCCGCGAGGAACCCGCTGAGATTGTTTTTTTTTCATCAGCTTCTTCTTCACCCTGCAATTCCATACAATAGACAGCATCCGCGGATAATCAGGAAGCAAGGCATCTAAAACCGCTTTATTTCTGCTGCTGCAGCCATCGCAGATATCTGGCCTTCTGAAAATGCCCTCAACACACGCCGCAGTTCCGCTTTTTTTACTTTTGGTAGTTTCCGCTTTTGAGAGTTTTTCCCTAGATGTTGCCGCCAGTAGCGGTTCTGATGTGAACGGTGAGCCGATATTACTGTTGACGAATCACCATTTTAAGATGCATAATAATTTTGGCATCAAATGCGATTCAAAGGTCCTTCGAGGGAACGCGTTCTCCAAGAAATAGAAGAGGTAATGTGAAATAAGTGACGAACTGCCAGGTCTAGAGGTACTGATATTCGAATTTCCGATTCAGGAAGGCTCGAACACGGGCGCGCAGGCCGATATAAACATACTAGCAGGTAAAATGTTGTTTCGCAGTGTACAATGCGCACTATTGATAAAAACGTACATCAAATGTTGGGTCAAATTTACAATTACGTCAGGCCTTGGAACTCCCAGCGAATGGTTCAAGTTTTTCACTTCCGACTCTCCTTTCCTCTCCGAAGCCATAAGCCCTCGTCTTCGGGGAACGATTGATTTAATGCTGTCTGACTTGGTGACCTCTTCAGCAGCTGCTGCTGCATATGCGCTGCACGGACCAGACAGGGCTCAGCCCCCATGGGAACAGCAACGGCCCGTTAAGAATTTCTCTGAAGTAGCAGGACTGGTGGCGCGGCTCTTTCTAGGAGGGGATTCTGAAGACAGTGTCGGGCTTGCGAAAAAAGAAAAACAACAAACGCCTCCCCCGCAACAGCTGCTGCAGCGCTCGGAGGAAGAAAAAAAGGCAACGAGTCAGCAGCATTCCACCCCAAAATTGATCATCACGCCTCACGAGAATGCCGCAACAACAACGGCTCGTCAAAGGGAAACAGCTGCAACAAAGATAACGGCAAAGTCACCAACAGCAGCAGTCGACACTGCAGGGACACGAACAGCCAAAGGTTCAACTCCAGCGGAACCAGCAACCCGGGAAGCTGGGGTAAAGCTCCCTGAGTCAGCGACAGCAGATTCAAAGACTTTGGAGGCCCCTGCACTGGGCAGAGCAGCACGCAGAGAAGCGGGGGGAGGCATTCGAGAGGCCGCCCTGCGGAGGACCATCACAAGAGGCACTCTGATGACGGAAGGCGACATGGCAAAAGCTGAGGGGAAATATCATCCTCCGGCAGCCGTAGTGACAGCAGCGGAAGGAATAGCAGCACCCAAAGCACGTGCACCGGCTATGGTTTCACAGCAAGGTAGGGCAGCAGCTACAGCACCAGGAAGGGAAGCTCCTGAGCCTGTTGCTTCTGCAGCAGCTGCAGCACCTAGAAGGGAAACAGTTGGGTCTCCTCCTGCAGCAGAAGCAGCAAGATATGAAAGGGAAGCTGCGCCGGTTGTCAAGACGGCTGTAGAACAAGCAACAGCAGAAAGTACAGCAATGGATGGTAGTCCTGCTATGTCTGTTGTTGGAAGGTTAGCACCAGAGGCAGCAGGACCAGAAACACCTACGGGACATCCCCTGCCTATTCCTGAATTGCCTGCAGAAGCAGCAAGTGAAGGTGCTTCTTTGGCTTCTGAAGAGGCACCAGCAGTAGCATCAAGTGTGGGAGAGTCTGCTTCATCTTCTGAAGTAACAGCAGCAACAAAAAGGGAATCGGGTGAACGCAGTGCTACACCTGTTCGTGAAGCAACAGCAGCAGTAGCATCACCCGCTGCAGAAGCAACGACAGCACCAAAGGCAGCAGACTCCGGAGCAGGACAGGAAGCTGGCGCAAGCTTTCGGCGGCTCCAGCAGGACATCAGCGGATGGGGTGACAAACCTAACCTGCAGGAGCAGCAGGAGCTTCTGCAGAAGCAGCTTCTCCTGCAGAAGCAGCTGAACGAGCAGCAAATGCAACAACAGGAGATGCAGCAGCACCTGCACGAGCAGCAGTTGCACCAGAACATGCAACAGCACCACTTGATGCAGCAACACATGCAGCAGCAGCTGGCCCCGGTGATGCGGGTGGACGTGGCATTGGCACGACTGCCACAGATACTGCCGGTCGCAGCAGCAGCAACCTCCCATGCAATGGAGGCTGTTGTAGGCACCACGAAAACCCTGGCTGCCGCAGCAGCAGCGTCAGCACAGGATGCGCTTTCTAGAAGACAGCGAAACAGAGTAGCAGCAAATCGGCAACACTAAAAACCAGCACAAGCATAGACTAACAACCAATTTAATTTAGCCTCTATAAGGCCCTTATTTCCTCTGCAATCACTATGGAGACTCATGGGTGGCTGCTACGCCTTTGCTCCTACTGCGTTGCTTTGTTGCTGCTGCGTTACTTTGCCGCTGCTGCTGCTTGCCTAGCGACTGTCGCTGGGGCTCTTACCTCTTGTTGCTGAGCCTTTTTCAAGCTACCTATACCGTAAAGCCTAGTATACGTTAGAACTGCAACTGTTTAACTACTTGATGTTAGTGGACAGACCCGGTTTTGCTGCTTTGTCTGCTGCTGCTGGCGTTGCTGCAGGTGGGTGCTTCCCTGCGGAAGCTTAAAACTTGCAGTGCGTTTGTTAGGAGGCGTCCCTCACTGGTTCCCTTATTCACCTGCTGCGGCACAGTTGCCGCAGTTCACGCTGACCTTGCGGGTGCAGCTCTCCTGGAGCTGGTGGTGGCTAGCTGCAGGTAGCTGCAGCTAGCTGTCCGTACCTGCGGCAATTCTTGTAGCCCGCTGTTGCGGTAACCACCTGTAGCTAGCCGCAGCTAGCTGCCGCCCAACCTGTAGCTACCGCCAGCTAGCAGCATGTTTGTGAAGCTTGCTATTTCAGTTGGCGGAGCATGGGCTGGCGTATTGTGCTGTACCTAACTGTACGCTAGTGTTGTGCCGCATCAGCTTGCTGTGGCAAGCTGTGAGTAGCGTAGCTGAGTCGCCTACCTGGACGGTGCTGCCTGGGTTGCTTCATCTGCCGCTAAGCAGAGTCCCTTAGCGGCTTCATGCTGCCGCGGTGCTTCGTGTGTGCTGGGAGACGGGGGGTAGAGGGGGATTGCGGGAGGTTGCTGAGTGTCTTGCATGAAGGTCTTTTTAAGGCAAATGGCTACGAAGACAATTGTAGTGACAAGGCAAAGGAGGCCTGCGACAACGGCGAAGAAGCGAATACTGGAGACCTGCGGGCTGGGGGCTGCCTGGAGGTGTTTGTACACCGCCGGCACTGCGCTGCAGTCGTTGCAGTAGCGGAACACTTTCGAGCCGTCCTTTTTGCTGCATTTGTTGCCGTTACCTCTTGAAGGAGTAATCACGTGGTATGTCCGATACTGAAAACATTCCCCTACGTAGTAGCCGTCGGGGCCTCGCTGTAAGTTGAATTCGTCTTCGGAGTCGTGGTGGGTGTCGTGGCCCTCCAGAGGCTCACAGGGAGACCACGCGCCGTATCCCCCCTTGCAGTCCACGTCGATGCCGCTGCTGCCCATGCTGCTGCTGCTGCTCATGTTGTTGCCGCTGCTTGTGTTGTTGTTGCTGCCGCTGGTTGAGGGACTGGAGCTGGAGGGGATAAGGTTGGCCCCGCTGCTGCTCGGCAGAGGAGCGGGGGTGTCCGTGTCTCCGCCTTCGGCTGTAGCACACACAGAAGTTAGAAAGGACGGGGTTTGTCAGTGTATGGGCTGGCAGGAACGTTGGGCCTGCACCAAAGACACGAGGTTTGTTGTAAACAGGTATCATCTGTTTCAATTTAGCTCGTGTGCTGCCTTTGTTAATGCCTTGTGTCTCTGTTTAGCTAGAGCGAAAAAGCGAAGACATCAGCTGACTGGACTCGTCAGGCAACACTACAAGTGTAGAACCCTAAACTGTCAACCATAAAAAGATAAAATATAGACGGAGGCAGAAAGAGACGGAAGCCGAAGTTCGTGTGGGTGAGCAGCAAACTCCTGGCAGTTTGTTCTTACCTTGGTCTGCTCCCCTGACATGGAGGAACGCGTGCAGGAGGAGGAGGGGGTAAAAGAAGGAATGAAGCAGCATTGCACCGGCAACAACAACAGTGAATAATAATAACAGCAGCTGCTGCAGAGTTCGTGTCGGAGCACCTAAGACCTGCAAGCGACTGAAACAACAATTGAAATGAAGTGACCTTTACCTAACTCAAAGCAGCAGCAACCAACGAACAACGAAAGAGAGATAGGCTCGGGCGCAGATCGGGCGGAGCAGCAGCAGCAGCAACAGCGGCTCGGCAGCAGCGGAAAGTGACCTGCGGCGGTTCCAGCTGCTGGTGCTGCTGCCTGACGCGTGTGCAGCGCTTAAGCATCATATTTGTTGCAAATATATATTACATAATTCTTCTATTTCTGTCGCAGGTGTATCTATTTGTTCGTTTTTTTCTATTTATTAATCCTTTCGACAAATATCTGTCTAACTACCCTAGCACCCCTAGAGCAGGAGCCGACGGAGAGCATTTCAGTCTTTCGTGCAGTGTTTGTTTGTGGGCTTAAATAGGTACATAAAAAGGTAAAAAAATAAGAAATTCGTCAAATTCAATTAAAATGTGTCTTTCCCTCTCTTTTTTGTTTCTTTTCTCCCTCGCTTCCCCGTATTTCCTCTCCGCCTCTGCTCAAGACTTCGAGATAAGTCCTGACATCCTCCTAGCTGGGTCCCCAGCAGCAATGTTATTCGCCTTCCTTGACACTCAAGAAGATTTCTCTGGCGCTTCTCAGGCTCTCGCTGCTCTCCCTTCGGTCTGCAAGACTCAAGGGCTCGCCGAGACCCTCACCAGCAGCAGGAGCAGCAGCAGCGAGGCAGTAGCGGCAAACGTTGACTGCAATCTCACTGGAGTGGACCCTGAGTGCTTCCTCATCAACCTTGCAGGCTAGTGCCGAACCTCACGAGCCGCTCGTTTCTACTGCTGCTGCTGCGTGTGCTTCTACTGCTGCCACTATTGCTGCTACCTCTGCAACTACTACTGCTAGTGCCGCTGCCGCTGCGGCTTTTGTACCTACTGGTGTTGCCGCCACCGATCCTTTAACAGCAGAAGCACGATTAGTAACTGTAGCTGCAGCCGCATTGGCATTAGCAGGCAGCAGAAGCCGGAGTTGCTACGTGCTGTTGCATGCGTTGGTTCGCCGTCTGTGCAGGTCAAGTGGGGAAGACATGGTCAACGCAACTTGCAGACGAGAGCCGAGCAGCAGAGATGATAGAGAGGCTGCTGAAAAAGCAAGGCCTCACGTTGCAGGCAGCAGCAGCAGCGTGTGCTGCTGCTCCTCTCGCTGTTCCGCTGCTGACGCAGTTCGGCTCGGCACTCCCAAGTGCTGCTGAAGTTATTGCAGAAGCCTCGGAGGCTTGCCGTGTCTGAGGTGTAATGTATACCCTAAGATAACGCCGCAGCTGCTCCTCAAGCGAAGCTGCACCAAGCAACAGCAGCTGTACCAGCGAAAGCAGCAGCAGCGGCAAGACAGCAGCAGCAGCAGCAGCAAAGGCAGCAGCAAAGGAACGGTGCATTGTATGTATTGCCTTGTTTGCAGACCTCGCTAGAGTCCCCTCCTCACTGGCTCCGTGTTCCCCATAAACCCTAAACCATGGGGGCTTCCACAGCCCTCTTCCTTAGTTGTATTCGCAGCCTTAGCGGCATTTGACCCCACCAATACAGTTAGCTAGCTGGGTAGCTAGCCATGCATCCAGCTAGTTAGCCAGCTAGCTAGCTAGCTAGCTAGCTGCCCCCAGACCCTCTTGTGCCTGCGAAGGCCCCTTTGTACGAACAGGAATCGAACAGACCCCACAACAAATCAGAAAACATTCACTAACACACACGGGAAGACTGCCACTAGAACTGCCTGGCCTGCTGCTGCTGCTGCTGCGTCTGGTGCTGCCTCTGGGTGCAGCACAGGCGTCCCTCGAGCCCTGCTGGACTGCCACGAAGTGGCCTAGGCAGCGGCGAGTTCAAAAGAAGGGTTTAGGGTTTGGTGTTTGGGGTTAATGGAGGGCATCTTCTTGGTGGGTAAGAATGGTGCAGTCGCTCTTAGGATATGCAGTGCACAGCAGCACATAACCCTGCTGCTGCTGCTCCGGCTCTAAGTAACTCTGCTCCGAACCGTCAATAGAACCCTTAAGCAGCTTCCCTGCAGCAGCAACAGCAAACGCAGTAGTAGCAGCAGCAGCATCGTTGAAGTAGGCAAGGAGGAAGTTAGCAGCTGTGGTAGCACCAGCAGGGCCAGCAGCAGCAACAGCAGCCCCCGAGTGAAAAACAACCACAAAACTGCGTCAGCAATGACAGAATGTGCAGGATCAGCAAAAGCAACAGCAGAGGCGGCGGCAAGCAGCTCACCTGCGCAGGTGCTGCAGGAACCTCCTCTACATGAGTAGGGCAGCTCGATGCCTGCTGCTTCGGCAGCATCTAAAATGTATTCATTTTCAGCACACTCGAAAACCTTCTCTTCCCCTGCAGTAGCAGCAACAACAACACCAACAGCAGCAGCAGCAGTGTGCAGGGCACGGAGAGGCTCGGCTGCACTGCACTGCAGCAGCAGTGCACTGCAGCAGCAAACGTACCTTCAGGAGATTGCAGGCGGATTTGGTACAGCAAACGAGTTGATGCAGCGATGCTTTGCTGCTGCTGCTGTTGCTGTAATAGCAGTAGAAACTGCTGCTGCTGCCGCCGCTGTTGTGGCGAGCTGGTGTTGGACAAGGGGCCCTGCCGCTGAAGCAGGAAAGATGACCCCTTCCCGGGTACAGAAGCAAAAGCAAATGGAAGTCGTACTGCATATTCCAACTGCTGCCACTGACCCTGCGGCTGCTGCTGCTGCTGCTGCTGCTGCACTGCCCCTGTATACGTGATGACGACCCCGCGTTGCTGGAGCGACGTGCATGCAATCTGCCTCCAGCAGCTGCAACCGCAGAGTAGCAGCAGCAGCAGCCGCAGCTGCACAACCCGGGATAAAGCCTTAAACATCATCGGGCTTCGGCAGCAGAGTTGTTTGCTGCTGCTGCTGCTACTGCTATTGCTGCTGCCCTGGTTGTGGGGCCGGGCTTCTCGCCGTCCCGAGCCCGGCACACGGATTGATTTCGCCTTCGCCACAAGTTCCTGCTGTCGCTGTTCTGGTTGATACAGTGGCAGCTGTCGTTGCTGCTGCAGCTGTTGCTGTTGCTGCTGCTGCTGCTCTCAGCCTCCGGCAGGATTGCAGCGGACGAAATGCAGGGGAGTTGCTGCTGCAGCACACGCCGCAGCAACAGAAATAAACAGATTTGAGAAGAAATTCATTAAAGGAAAAATGCAATACAGCTGCAGCAGTAGTATCTGGTACTGGCGATGCTGCTGCCTGGAAGTACATGATGTCTCAGGACCCGGGAGGAACCGTTCTATGTGCAGCAGCAGCAGCAACAGTGTCGGCAGAAGCAGCTGCTACTGCAGCCCCAGCTGCTGCACGAAGCATAATAATAATTGTTTTATAAACGACAGTTTATTAAGTTATATTACGTGTTGTAGCAGGTGCTGCTAGTCTTGCTGCTGTTGCTGCTGCTTGGGGCCCATGCCGCAGCCGACTCGAGGCACGGTCGCAGGTAACGTAGAAGCAGAAGCACCAGCACCTGCAGTAGCATTTGCTGATGCTGCTCTGAAACTGCAGCATCTGCTGCAACAGGGTCTCTCTTGTCGCTCTCGGTGTATGCCTTTGGGAGATCTTCACTTGTGCTGCGACGCTGCAGCAACCGTTGCTCGTTTTGTCTTTCCTGCAGCTGCTGCTGCACCTTCCTCTTCTTGTCTTGGCAATAAGCCACAAAATAAGCGGAGAATCACAAAGCAGCAGCTTCAGCAGGCGGCAGTTCAGTCGCTATAGCATCGGCAACGACAGCAGCAACAGCAGCACAGGCAACAGTAACCGCACCAGCAATACCGCAGCAACAGCAACAGTACGTCAACAAAAGCAATAGCAACAGCATCACCAGCAGCAACCGGAGAAGAGGAAGAGTCAGCAGCAACAGCGAAACCACACACAGCAAAGGTTGTCCCATACCAGCAGTTAACAATGGGTGTTTCTGTGCCTGCGGAGCAGCGGCAGGATAAGCAGCAGCAAAAGACACAGCAAGAACAACAGCAGCAAGAGCAGCCACAGCAGCAGGCCGACCAGCCCGAAGCTGCCCCCCGAAAATGGACTAGCCGCTGGCGCAGGCAAACCAATGGGCCCCGCCAGCAGCAGAAGCAACAGCAGCAGCTGGAGCAACAGCAACAGCAGCAGCCGCAACAGCAGCAGCCGCAACAGCAGCAAGCACAAGACCCACAGAAAGAGCCACAGCAGCAGCAAGAGCTGCATCATCAATCTTCTGTGCATGAGAATGAGCAACAGCAGCACCTTGAAGAGCTGCAGCAGCAACAGCAGCAGCAAGACCAACATCAACCGCAGCAACAACGACAGCAGCAGAGAACTGCTCCTACAACACCTGAGGAAGCACTAGCATTTATTGCTGCCGCTGCGGCTCAGACACAGCAGCAACAACAACGGTCGCACCTGCTGCAGCAGTGTCAGCAGCAGCTGCTGCAGCAAGTGCAGCGTCACGGAGGCTGCAGCAGCAGCAACAGCGACCAATTGCCGAAGACCCTCCCTCATACTGTTGTGTACACTGCTTCTTGCCCCAACAGAAAACCGCAAAGGGAAACAGCAGACGAGTTGTGCCTTGGCTGCTGCAACGGCACTTGTGGCAGTAGGGATTGCTGCAGCAGAGACTGCAGCAGCAGCAACAGGTGAGTGTCTGCCACTGCTCCATGGCGCAACATTTCTGCTCCTGCTTCTGGCAGCTATTGGATATAACGACTGCAGCAGCAGCATTTCTGGCAGCTATTGGACATAACGACTGCAGCAGCAGCAGCTGGTGCAGTCGGCACCACCTGCTGGAGCAGAGGTGCTTGCTGCTGCCGTTTCCCGTTGAGTTGTTTACCATTTTCCACAGCTGCTGCTGTTGCTGCTGCTGCAGCAGGCGAAAGGGGTATGAGGTGGGAGTGGCTCTTGGGGGCGTCTGCCGCATTCTTTGTCTTCAGTTTGCTGCACAAGGACCCTCCAAAGTCGAAGTCGTAGGCAGCAATAAACCCTAAACCCCAAACTCTAAACCCTATATGTGTCAGCTTAGGACGCCACTGCAATTCCCCTAGATTGATCTGTCTGCATTTGCTGCTGCGGCTTCTGTATCTCAACCTCAGTGGCTTCCACGGGATGCAGGGGGATCGAACTCAGCAGTCACAGCGCCAGCAAGAACAGGAGCAAAACCATCAGGGCGCCAACAGGCAGAAACAGCAGCAGCAGCAGCCCCACAGGCAGAAGCTTGCCGTGTGTGCTGCCGATGTTGCTTATGTCCTCTGCCGACAGCACCTTCTGCTGCTCCTGCAGTTGCTGCAGCATATTTGGGGTGTACCTACACCCGAGTTGGTTTTGTACGCCTGCGGCAGCCCATGGAGCTGAAGTGTATCCGTCTGCCCCAACACATGCATTCCAATTTCATTAAAATCGTCTGCGTAGCTGCACCAACAAACGAAGTTCCCCCATATGCTGTTGCTAAGGTAAGGACTCATCGGCAGCAGCAGCTGCTGCTGCTTCTGCTGCTGCCCCAGGCGCTCAAGTGCACGAGCGCTTCTGCTGCCAGTGCTGCTGCTGGTGTAGCTACTGCCTTGTTGCTGCACCGGACGCTGCTACTGCTGCTACCGATGGTGCTCTGCTGGGGAGGTGCTGTAGCTTCTAGTGCTAGTATCTCTATCAACAGGAGTCAGGATCCTTGTGTGCAGGCGACGTCGGCAGCTGCACTGACAGCAGCAATAGCTACTGCAGCAACAAGTGCAGCAGCAACAACTGCAGCAGCAACAGCTGCTGAAGGGTTCAAATGCGTATGCGATGCAGACGCTGGTGCGGTCATTGCGAGTCGGAGGGTCACCTGCCCCTGGAGTTGGCTGTCCGGGCCTAAGGGCCCTGCTGCAGCAACAGCAACTGGCAAGCTGCTACTGATGCTGCTGCAGCTGTTTCTGCTCCATACTGCTGGTGTTGATGTACGGGTTTGTGGCTTATGGCATTGGGTTCACGGTTTAGGGTATAGGTTAGGTAGGTTAGAGGTGAGGGTTTTAAGGCCTGTCGTACAAGCTGCAGATTGTTCTAGATTGTTGGGAGTTTATGTTGCTGATGCAGCAGCAGCGCCACTCCCAACATCAGCAGCAGCAGCAGCAGCAGCAGCAGGCATCTGGTGGGGGGGCGCTCGCGCCGGGGGGCTGTCGCCGCATCAGCGCATTTTTGCTGCAGCAGTTACTGCTGCTCCAGCAGGCAAAACAGCAGCGGGCTCAGGCCGAAATGTTTAACAGCGCAGCAAGAATACACCAAGCCCTCATAAAAGTGCTGCAGGCACTCCCGAAGGTTCAGGCCTTAGAAGCCAAGAAGGAGTATGCAAACCCTAAATCAAAAACCATACCCTCCCGCCTTCAGCGGATGGTCTGTGCGAGCAAATACTTACAACTTATTGGTCTAGGGTTTATAGGTTGAGGTTTGTGGCATTGGGCATGGGGTCTGGTGTTTAGGGCTTAGGATTTGGTGTTCAGCGCTGTGGGCGTTCCAAGGCTGCGTGGGTCTGCAGGGCCGCAGTGTCTCGCGACGACTTTGCAGCAGCTGCTGCAGCACAGCAGCAGCTGCAAAGCATAGCTTCTTTACTACGGCGATCAGTTGCTGCTGCGCTTGTAGTGCAAAGCGACACTGACCCGCTGAACCCCTCAGACGATGAGTTATCAGAGGGGGAGCTGCTGCGCTGCCTAAACCAACGAGTAATCCCTAAACCATAAGCTATAAGCAGTAGGCAGGGCAGAGGCCAGCCTACGGGGTGTAGGGTCTACCATTGGAGCGGCCGGATTTAGGGTTTAGTGTTGAGAGTCTAGGGTTTAAACGTGTTTGCAGCTCCCGTCGTTTGAAACGGAAGACCGCAAGGAAGAACTCAGAGAGTATCCAGAGGTTTGCCATTGGATTGACAGTCTGGCATTTACGGTGTAGGATTTAGGGCTTACAGTTTTTTGTTTGAGGGTTTGTGGTGTAGGCTCTGCAGTATAGGGTTCAGGAACTAAGGCTTGGGGTTTAGGGTATTGGGTTCGGCACTTTGTGACTGTTTTGATTGTTCCTTTGCCGTGGGTTTGCTCTTTTGCTGTTGCAGGACGCCCCTGTCCCCCGTAGAGCAGCAGCAATAGCCCGAGGTGCAGCAGCAGCAGGAGCTGCAGGCGATTCGGGTGCTTTGGCTCCTTTGCTGGCCTTTTGGGATCCCGAAACTGTGGAATGCATCTGCAGCAAATCTCCGGACAAAAGGGCTGAGGGCTTTGCTGCGCTGCTGCAGCGGCTGCAGCACGAAGAACAACTGCGACAGCAGCAACAGCGTAAGACACTGCAGCAGAAGCAGCAGCAGAAGGGTGCTGAGCGCTGTTTTCCTGCTGCCTCTGTTGCTGGATGTACACAAAGTGTTGCAGAGGAGAACGCTGCTTCGACGTTTGCATTGCTGCGAATGTTGAAAAACCTACTGTCCTGCTGGTGTCAACCTACTCTCCTGCTGGTGCTCCTACTGTTGCTGCTGCTGCTGCCCTTACTGTTCCTGCTGCTGCTTCTGCTACAGCGAACTTGCTTCCATCTGAACAGTTTTTCGGGGCTTTGGCGCTGGGCATGCAGAGAGCCTTCGAGGACAAAACCCTCAAAGTGCAACCCCTATGACCTAATCTCTTAATTATATACTGTGAACCCCAAACCTTAAACTCCAAACCCTAGTAACTTGATGCTCAACTTAGAACCCTAACCCCCCAACCCTTAACCAGAAGGAGAGAGCGGCACACTGCGGAGTACAGCGGAGCAACGAATTTCAAGCGGAGGCTCTGGATTTTAGGGTCTACAGTTGAGGGGTTAGGGTCCAGGGTTCAGGGTTTTGTTGCTGCAGGTGCTACTCATTGCGACAGAGATGCTGACGTCTCTAACGGATCAGCTGGCAGTGCCCACTGCATATTTTCACAGCCCTTCGGTGCAACTAAACCCTAAACCATAAACCCTAATCCATGTTTTGTCACTAGCTTAACGAGTTAAACCTCAACAGGAGACAGGCCATGACCCCAAAACCCCAGAAACAGGAGGGCGTCTATAATGTTTTGAGTTTAGATTTTAGGGCTTATGGCTTAGGGTCTGCGTTTCAGTTTATGGCGGTGCTTGACGGCGTTTGTCTTGGGGTTTCGGGGGACTTTTCCCAAAGGATGCAACAGATGCTGCTGCGGCTCTGTCTGAGAAGAAACTTAGGAGGGTCGGTGTGCGTTAGAGGGTTAAATTACCTTGCTGCTACTGTTGCAGCAGAGCAGCAGGAACTGGAAGCAGCAGCCGCTATTGCTGCTGCTGAAGCTGCTAGTGGTGAAACAGCAACCTACAAACCCGACACCTCCAGGAGACACGGAGCAGCTATGAGAAACAGGTCTGCGGTTTAAGGTTTAGGCATATGGTTTAGGATATGTGGCTTAGGATTTAGGGTTTAGACTTCGGAGCTTAGGGTTTGGGGTTTAGGGTTTATGGATATGGATGCCAGGAGTCGCCTTATCTGGCTGGGCCTGCTTCAGCATATTGTCTGCACGTACACCAACAGCAGCAGCAACAACAACAGCAACAGCAGCGTTTTCCAGCTGACAGGGGCACAGCTGCAAACCCTCAAGGCTTTAACTTCAATGGGAACCCCGGAAGTCCGCGTGGCTGCTGCGGCGCTCATCAGCAGCTTTGGTCCCCCCAAGCCAGCGCACCAGGCAAACCCTAAGCCCCCAACCCTAACCACTAAAGCTTAGACGCTACGCACTAAATATAGAGTGTTTAGTAGCCTCAGATGAAGTAAGGTATCCCTGTAGCCACACGCAGAGTGGATGTTTAGGCATTAGGGTTTAGCGTTGGGGTCCAGAGTTTACGGCGTTACCCTGCTGACGCGATGGTGGGAATCCGAAATTAAAATTTTAGGTGTAACGCTTCAACTGTTCACGTTAATCATGAGGGTTTACAATGGATCTTTGGAGATCACGTGTTAGGGTTGATGTACGGTGATGGCGTCTGCTTGAAGGGCCCCCCATCACGCAGCCCTACAACACCGGTCCATCAAAAGCAAGATCGGAACACTGTATGGCATCGGACCGTTCTTGTTGTTGCTGCTGCTGCTAGCAGTGCTGCGGGGGTGTTTCCCTCTGCAATTTGGTTTTGCATTGCAATAGCATTACTTGCGGATTGTATCAACGCATCTTCTGCTGTTGCGGCTGATGCTGCTGTTGCTACTGCTGTGCTGCTGCTGCTGTTGCAGGCGGTGTGCATGTTTTGCTTGCGTCGTTCCCCGTCTCTCGTGGGAAGCGGCCTGGACCGACACTTTGCTGAATTCTGTCCCTGTCTGGCGATCTGCAGCCATTGCGGCACTGTCCTCGAGGTGCAGGCACAGCAAGAGCAGCAGCTACCATAGTACAGCACGAATGGCAGCTCAGGAGGATAACGGCGGCATAAAACTCTTGCTGTAACTTCTGGACGTGCATGCAGTTTTTTGTAGTTGTGGTGAGTGTGATGTTCCTGCCGGTACTGCTCCTGCAGGTTGCAGCAATGGACAGACACCTGGTTGAAGAGTGCTCATCCCGAGACAGTTACTCGCGCTGCTCCAACTGCCGCCGAGTTATAACTCTGGAAGAGCTTAAAACGCACAGAAACTGTTCCCGTACGACTTAGGGCTTACGGACCGTGGTTTAGGGTTTGGGGCTTGGGTCTGCGAATATTGAAGGAGCCTCGCCACTGAGCGTGCTGTTATATCATACACCGGAATGTGCGCGGTAGCGTTGCTACAGCTGCGCCTGCAGCTGCTGTTACTGCTGTGCTGCTGCTGTGATGAATGCAGCACCACCAAGCTCCGAGCACAGCTACTGCATGTACTGTGGCGAATGCTTGGAGGCGCACCCTGATGTTTGGAGGCAGCACCTGCTGCAGCAGTGCAGCAATAACAGGCGCAACAGCGGCAGGCAGCAGCACGACCAGGCAGCGCATTTTGCAATTTCCGCTCCTGCGGCAGATTTGGCCAACGGGGGGCCGCAGCAGCATTTACAGCAGCAGAATCAGCATGAGTGAACAGCCCATCTGCTGAACCTCCAGATCCTATAAAAGCGTTGCGCTGTTAGCAGGGATGGCAGCAGGAGCACTAGAAGCAGCAGCAGGCACAGCATGAGTAGCAGCAGCAGGGGCAGCAGTTTCAGGAATGGTAACCACACTTGGGATGTCGTTGGAAGTGATAGTTCTTCCATTAGCCTGAAGCGGTGCATCGGGCTGTCCGTGTGCTGGCTTTGCAAGCCCATAAGCCTAAACGCCTAACTGTAAGCATTAAATTGTCTAAGTCATATTGCAAAGTGCCGCACCCCAAAATAACAAAACCCAGGAAATGCCCCAATCAGTAAACCCAGTACGACTTTGGCTGGCTTGAGTTAAGTGCAATCCTTTGCTGCGAAAGGGTCTACGGTTTACGGTTTAGCTGGTGGAAGAAACAGGGTCGCCCTGCGGGTCTGCCACTGGCTTGTGGAGCTGAACAACTGATTATGTACAGTTATCTAGTGGTTATCACGCTAGATAATCAATTGTTATTATTGTAGTAGCAGTATTTGTTTCTAAATGGAAAGGGGTTGCAATGTAATTTTTTCTCCTCTGGAAGGGGACATTTTTGAGAATGCCACAGGAACAGCGCATATGTACATTACCCCCGGCAGATGTTGATTCCAGCACTCAGGAAGCTGGGGAGCATGCCAAGATGCCCTCCTGCCTTCCTTGCAACAAACACGATCACATGATTAGATATTACAAGCTTAGCGAAGGAAGGAAGAAGTATAGCAGCAGATAAAAGTTGTGGGCCCCAAACTTACGCGAGGGACATTGATAGGGCCGACAGAGGTAACAGATGCTCCAGCAGACCAGCCACCGCGTAGGGTGAACTCAGTGCTAACGAGTGGTGGCAGTATCTGGGCCGTCAAGTGGGTGTATTTTCTGAAGCTACAGAGATGCGTTGCCCACCGTCTGTTGGTTGGCTCAGTGTATCCGAGGACAGGACAGCTCGCCAACACTTGCCAGAACACGAGAGCCGGCAAGAGTATAAGTGTAAGAAACAGGTTTCGCCCAGAAACGAGCCATACTGCTATGATTTGGGGCTCATATGTTGAACCAGTTCGCTAGGACGTAGTTCTAGGAATGCAAAGGGGCACTGTGGGGGACAAAGAAGTGTAAAATTGATTAGTAATACAGGCAGCCCACCGTTGTGTATCACGATCTTTCTAAAGCTGGAACATAGGTATGTCCTCATCACATGCAGGCAGCCCAATGAGGGCGACCCACGTTCAACAATCAACCATAACATTACTCTATGCAGATTAGAAGGCTGGGATGTACTTCCATGCTGGCTAGCCATGCTGCGCTCGTGACAGAAAGGAGTGCATCATAGTTCATGACAGACCGCTTCGTCTTCTTCCCTGCCCTAGACACTTAGAGAGTTATGTTAAAGACGTCTGGAGACTGACGAAGGTCTGTCACATTCTAGAAAAATGCTAGTTTCGGCGGGTGTAATCAAGGCCCTTCGCTTGGCGCAGCGTTAGCGGCGCCATTCTTCTTTATATTTGTTTGCTTTAAAGGCGCACTTCCAATTCCACAGGTTTGCTTTAAAGGCGCACTTCTGTGGAATTGGAGCAACTATTGCGTTCCATGCAGAGCAGCGAGGCGTCCAGCAGGTGTGTTGAGCGTCCTCCTTCCCCACCGGAGGTTAGAGGCTGCCCAGTCTCTATTATGCGGGAGAAGTTCTGGTGAAAATTTTAGAAAGAAAACCCAAAGACTCACATCTTGATTCATATATTAGTAAGACCACATTCACTCCTGGTCTTTTCTTTGAGTCTGGAAAGCCATCTGTGTGTAAGGATCGGCTGCTCCCGCATGCCCCTCTCAACTACGCGGTGGTACTGTGGCTGATGCAGCTTTTCGAACTGAGCAGAGGAGCCCCCGGTGCTGCAACCTATTCATAGACAAAAGCACAACTGGGCCTTAAAGCAGTAGATAACCTCCCCTATAATCTCCAAGCATCCTGGGGGCAACACTCCAAGGGGCTCGGAACGGAAAGGATACGAGGCGGCTAGTCATCAACTGCAGCAGCCCTGGAGGCCCCAAAGGCTTCAGGGTAGCCCAGATTGCATGCACCGCCTTCAGTGTGGATCGTCGATCCCATCCGAGCCCTATTCTGAGCTTTGGAGCAAAAACGCTCCATATGATAGTTGCGTAAAAGCAGCTCTCCCCACAGTCTACAGGCCTCCTGAGCTAAGTTGATCAACCTCCTGGAGTTGCAAGGGAAATTGTGGCTAGCGGGTTGCATAGCACCTTCATCAACTCAAGATGCAACAAAGCAAGCAATATAAACACGAACAAGCTTTCTCGGGTGTACGTACAGACAATTTAGCCGTGTCAGTTGGCGTGGGGCACCCTCAACACGTCAACACTTTGACGAAGCATACAATCTTCTGCTGCTATTCAAAGTTTCACGGAGGGAAATACCAGCACGCGAGAACGACCCGTACAAGTTGTGTTTGGCAGTACAACAGTGTTGGCACTACTCATATGCCAGGCAGGCCATTCGGGTTACTGTTTCTAGAACAACAGTCATCATATGATGTGCCCAAACTAGTGGACTTAACACAATTGTACATCACATAGATAGTATCATTGACGGATCGCCGAACAGTAACCTACTTGTCTACAAGGGGCTGGCCTCTTACCTAATCCCATCCTGGTTGCACCTCCATTAGTGTCAAGCGGAAGTGGCGAATCTGCTCTACATTTCTATTCCTCAGCATGTACCCCTACGCGCTAACCGGGTCACCTGGGAGGCCTCTGAGGAGAGCGTTTGTCAGTGCTCAAACCGATATTCAGCCCATGACAAGCCTGACGAAGGGTTTTGAAGGCCACCGCTGTGAATGAGTTGTCCAATTGCTTTTACGTGTAGGTAGTACTAATGGGGACTCTGATATGTTCGGAAATTGATTAAATGGAACGCTTGTATGCTTTGAATGGAGAATAGATAACAGGCACGCTGAGGAGACATACTTAGTAACAGCGAAGATCAGCTGTGCTTTACATTTGAGGGGTGCTCCGGGAAATTACACAAGAGGCCGCTTACTTTCGATGTTGCCTCCGCGTTTACAGACGATATTAAGTAGATTTGTTAAAGGAAGTAAGCAGTGACTGGCAAAGGCAGATATGCACCTACGAAACGGGAAGATTTTAGGTGCAGGCACGAGGCAAGTTGGAAGGGAGATGAGAACGACTGATTACGAATCAGAAAGTAAATTAGGTAAGAGAGCTGGAGAAACTCCCATTCCTGCTACCGAGAGAAATATCACTAAGAAACTGGGACGTCAGCTTGCAGAAAGGACATTGGCACCGTCCGCTGACTGGGTTACTCCACTCCAGAGCCCCGATGTGATTTCCAAGAGCCGAGATCACCTATGGCAGACAACCTCCGGGTATCCGAACTTAAGACTACCCCTGGGAGTTGGTAGAACATGAGGTACTCTCTTCGTCATCTACAGATGTCGCACGAAGGGGCAGGGATACCTTACGATCGGTGGGGGGCCGAACTGCGCAAATAGACAGGGAGTGCCCTACAGTACTGGTTCTACCGGCGGGGTACCAAATTTGATTTGATGGATTGGGATGGTGCCAAACGCTCAATGCGCACTAGATTCTGTTGAATTCCGTGAGATGTAATCGCTTTGCGTTTATCTAGTGTCACGTGGCAGGCTAATGCTGTACAGTATGCCGCAGAATTTTCAGCGGTCCTGTGTCAGGGAGACCCCCTCCCGCCCGATCAGCTAGTGGCCATTTTCCTAGCTAACGTGTCTGACGATGTCCCCCTAAGAGTGACAAAGGAAGGCCATATAAAATTCACAGTCTGGGAAGAGGCGGTCGCTGAGCTAGAGAAGATAGTGGGGACAAGAGGAGAGACATAAGATTATCTGCGGCAAACTAGATTGTACTTACAAGATCTTTGACGGACTGTACGAGATGTGTCTGATAAGATGCAACGATATGGAGATGGAGATAACCCACGGGATGGGCGAGTGTTAAGGGGCATCGCCTATTTTGAATGCAAGGGCAAGGGACACGTGGCGTCGCAATGCCCATCACGCATCGATGCTTCACGGCGTGATGGGGGGATGCGTAGGAAGTGTGGAGGTGTGGGGCACTACGCCAGAGGCTGTCCTACACAGCGTCGAGCGAGGGCAGAGCCACGCGTCCAGGTGTCGGTAGTTCTGGGCGTTTAAACGATCGAGCCTAGTCGTCAAGGGAGACGAGCGTACTAGGCGGCCTACCTGTGGTAAGGGCACATTTTGCGCAGTATCGACAGGACCTAATGCCATTCCACTTCCCTAGAAGGGGGAAAGAAGTTGCTCGTTAGGGCGGTGCAGGCGGGTACGTCGAGGTAGGAAGTGGGGGGAGACCAGCAGCCATCGGCGGAGCAGTGCAAATCCGGGACTACGTCGTTACCAAAGGGAGCCCAAATATTCTGGAGACGTTAGGGGGTGTTACAGTCATCTCTAGCCTTGACCTAGAATCCGGCTTCCATCAAGTCCGAATGGCATGCACCCATGCAGTACGACGTCACAGGGAAGTATATAAAGGGCACCATCGACGTGGTTGCCGACGCCTTCTCCTGACTTCCCACCGCTCAGGCACTGTGTTGTGCAACTGCGTTTGTGTGTGATGATCCCCATATCCTTTCAAAAGTGCGTTCGTCGCTCTTAGATACGCGTTTGGCTGCAGCTGCCGCTAAGCTCGACGACAGGTGAAGCACTACAGCTTCGACGGGGATCTTCAGGGGGCTTCCCCGCGTATGCATCCCAGCTTCACTTCGTACAGATATTTTATGCAAAATGCACAATCAGGCTTTAGCAGACCCCGGATGGGTCAATGCAACAGCGGAGATAATGGCAAGGTCCTTGTGACGCCCAAAGATGTGCTCCTCCGGGGAGGACACCTTCCCGTGCCCCGAATGTCTGGAGCAAAGCCCCAGGAATACTGTCAAACCTGGACTCTTGCAGAGCCATCCGATTCCCAAACGGATCTGGATGGATATCTCAATGGATTTTATAGTGGGACTACCATCAGTCAGAAGCTACGATAGGATATGGGCCATAAAGGATTGTCCCGACAGGTACGCCCACTTCATCCCCTGTTCCACCTAGGTTAGTTCAGAGGGAGCAGTCACATACCCCTTAATCATATCCGGAACACCGGGGCTTCCCGAAAAGCCCAAGACTGACAGGAATCCGAAGTCCGCTAGCGCCTTCTGGCACGAATTCATGGAGCGGCTTAATTTCGAACGCAAAACGCGCGAGCCGGAGGCACACGGCCACCCTGAGAGAGCCAACAACATACTGATTCAGTATGTGAGACTCTGAACCCAAAGGTCAAAGTGGCTTGAAATTCACCCGTGCGAGAAATGGGGCCATAATACAACAGTGGACTCTTCCACTCGTTGCTATCCGGCATCTCTGGCCTACATCGAGACACCGCTGGCCGCGATTTTATTGGAAATGCCTCCGTTTCCACACGCAGGTCGCAGCAGCGTGGAAATTCATAAGAGATGATCGTGAACGGGCAACGAAATATAGATACGGTCGTTCAGAAGCCGGTTTTATCCCAACAGACTTGGGTTTGGTGGATTCGCACGCTCTCCGAAGCGCTCAGTAGGGCGAGCAGCCGAAGAAATTCGCTGTGCTTGGGGAAGATCCTTTTTCTACTCCTCCTCACGACCCAGCGTCAACTCCAGTGTGAAAAGTCACAACTGAGGGAGACTGAGATCCTGGACAGACGTGCGACAGTTCTGAGGCCACCGAAAACGCGAATATTACGTTAAATGGCCAGGAGACTGCAACCTGAATGGATTTCTCGGGATCGCTTGAGCGAAGCAATCCCTCTGGAACATCTACAGGCAATCCTTGATTCGTTGGTAGCGGCTGCAAACGTGGGCACGACGCAGCTTACGTTGGGGCGGGGAACAACTGATAGCTGTCCCCTGAGCTACTCAATCTTCATGGAGTAGCCCATGACCCTTACGCTACCTACAGCCAGCTTGGTGACGCTGCTGCCAATTTCATTTTCCCCACCTTTGGGGGGATGGGGGGGGGGCGGAGCAGAAACCCCCCCCACACGAGTGTGCATGTGCATGCTGAACAGCTTTCTGTTGCAGCTTCCGTACAATATCGTTGCTGAAGAACCGCCGATCAGCTGCAGTGGCGGTTGCTAAAGATCTAGGCGCAGTAGTTTCTATGAAACTGCCGAAATGCACCTAACCTATCGTAACATACAAGCCTCTGCAAGGAGGGGCATGCCACTCCACGCTGGCTCTTGCCCAGGTTTAATTGAAGTTGCAGGGAGAACAGCCTCTAGACTAGAAGGAAACAAACCTCCTCGGTGCATAATATATCGAGGTGAGACGGGGATCATTCGTTAGTTCGTTGCCTTGCAAGCGCCCGGCGAGACGCGCAACCACGCGTCTCACCCCCTACCACGCGTCTCAGATAGATAAAAGTACCTCGCTACGCTGCAGGTGAGCGGTCGCACCACCACCGCACCCACCTCAGCAATACAGTCGCCTTCGCTCAGCAAAGCGCGCATAAAGTGTGCAAACTCCTTACAATGGGAATCGAACGCGCAACCGTGTGAGCTAGTGTGCCTGCGATCTACAGGGGCTCAACACATCTGTCTGCCGTTTGAGAGTTACTGTTAGAGGCAGCCAAGCTGGGATAGATGCATAGATATCGAGACGGTAGTGGTGATCCAAACTGCAGGGAAGGCACTCTTGTACGGGTCCCTCGGCGTACAACATAACGACGCTGTACCAGTGTGCACTGCGATGAAAGGCTGAGAAAACTATGAGAGCAACAAGTACTCTCGTCTAAATATTTGACGAAAAATGAATTTTTCACGTCAAGCTTTTAAAAGAAGACGAGCGACGAACGGACGCACGTACTTTTGGAAATCAGCTCCCCATATGCAAAGGAAGGGAAGTTGACCAAGGGAAAAAATCGTGGGCACCTCATGGCGCATATGGTGCGGAATGTGTGCGGTTCTTGGTTCCAGGAATGGTGACGGCTGCTGTATAATTATACTATCCCAAGCCATATGCTGTGTTGTGCATGACACAGCAACATCTAGGCTCCCTCGTTTAAACGTTGAGATTGCTGCTGTGCCTGTTGTCCCGTTGTCGTACGGCTGCCCCTTTCTGTCCTCATACGACCAGGTGTTCGACATTCGCGTGCGTAGGGGACCATGCCTCCCCAGTTCCGACACATTTTCCCAGGCTTGCGCCACTTCGGATCGCCGGTTAGACAATTCTTAGCCGTGTGCCCCTTGGCATTTGCACTAGTAACATACCATTTCTGTTCGGTCCCCCGACGCTTGGGTGTACAGTCAAATCCCACTAGACACTCGCTCACGTGGAAACTTCGCTGCCTTCCGTGCCAGACTAAGTTGGAATTCTCGTTTCCGCCTACGGAATTCATCCTTTGCGGCTCCTCACAGGACGGCGACAGCTGCTAATGCGTTGGATGCAGCCCGCCAACTACTGAATTGTATCGTACCTAGCTCTTTTACGGCCCATCTCAGTTCAGCTGGGATATTCGTTAAGAAGTAACCAACTAAGTCTTCTGCCGACAGCTAGACTCCTCGAGCCCCGATTCGACTGAAGTTAGCCGAATAGGTGCTGCAGTCTCCAGTCCATTTGTTAGCTGTCATCTGGTCAATGAGTGTTGCTATATCTACCGTGCAGAAACTTTTGATTAGTTCCTGTTTAACGAGTGACCACTCAGTCATGTCCATGCCGGATTGTTGCAGGTCCATCCAGCACAGTAGGGCGTCCTCATTGAGGTATTCGCCAAGCTCGTCACCCCAGAGCTCCGGTGGAAGATCCATCTTCCTGAACCGTCGCTCAATAAGCGTCAAAAAGGGTTGCATGTTACTGCTGCTGCATCATCTGCTTCTGCTGCAGCATCTGCTTCCGTGAGAGCATATGTATCTGCTGCAGCGGCTGCTCCTGTTTCGGTTGATGCTGCTGCTGCTTTTGCTGCAGCGACGGCATCAAGTTGGTGCTGCAGAGCAGCAAGCTGTTGCAGCGAGAGCTGCTGCGCTGCAACAAGGATAGCATCAACAGCAGCATCTTGACCTCGCGGGGCTGCATGCAGTGTTGTTGTGCTGCTGCTGCGGGTATCTCCTGCGTCGGGGAGATGATAGCTGTGTGCGCTGTCTGCTGCAGCAATGCTGCTGCTGCTACTGCTAGTGCTGCTGTTGCGGGTTTTCGTTGTGGTGGCGCTGCTGGTGGGTATTGGTGTACGTGTTTGTGTGCGTTGTTTGCGTTGTATCTGTTGCTGAAGCACTAGCTGCTGTTGCTGCTGCTGTTGCTGCTGTTGCGCTTCTTGCTGATGTTGATGCTGCGTCTGTTGCTGCTGCTGTGCTGTGTCTTGCTCCTGCTGCTGCTGCTGCAACTGGTGCTGCAGCAGCGCTATCCTCCTTGCTGTTGCCTCGGCCTCTGCTATCTGCGGCACAAATGTCCTCTGATACAGAAAAGTAAAAAGACCCATCACCACTTGACAATCAAATCTATCTGTCACTCCCCCATGCCCAGGGATAAAATACCCAAAGTCCTGCACATAAACACCATACACCACCAACACTCACAACAAATTACAACTAGTGAGCTAGCTAGCCTGTTGGATAACTGAGCAACTAGCTAGCTCGAACTCGCCTCCTGACTGTGTAGTTTGCCTGTTAGACTGTTAGATAGCTTGCTGGTAGCTGGTTGCTGGTAGCTAGCTTGCTAGCTAGCTAGCTGGCTAGCTAGGTAGCGATGCAACGTAACTGACTTTGATTCGGAGGGCTCTTTTAAATCCTGAGGCAAAGAAGCCTCCAAAGGGAGCAAAGAAAGCAGCAAAAGAGCCCAATACCATTGCATGCACATCAAACGGGGTATAGAGCAGGGTACGGCAGACAGAGCGCTGCTGCTGTTGCACATCCTTTAACTCCGTCTCAATCTGCTGCAGCCGCTGCAGCAGATCCTCCCGCTGACGCACCAATAGTGCACCCTCTAATGTGGCCCCCTCCCCCTCCTCCTCCCCCTTCTGCTGCTCCTGCGGATGCTGCTCCTGCTGCAGTTGCTGCAGCTGCAGGAGTTTTTGCTGCGCTGCTGCTGCTTCCAGGGAGACGGCCTCATGCTGCTGTAGGAGGGCAAGTTGCTGCTCATGAAGGAGATGCTGATGTTGTAGTAAGAGGCGTTGTTGCTGCTGTTCCTTTTGTTCCTGCTCTTGCTGTTCCTGCTGCTTTCCCTCTCGCCCCTGTCCCTGCTGTTGCTCTTGCTCCTCATGCTGTAGCTGCATGTTGTTGCTAGCAGTAACAGCATCAGTAGCAAAGGGCGGCAGGTATCGATCAGCGCATGCGGGAAGGAAAACTGGTGAAGGAGTGCAGGAGAGTTGCTGCAGCGGTAAGAAAGGAGTAAACGTGATGAACGGTTGAGGGCAGATAAAGGGGGAGAGTTGTTCAAGTTGTCTGCTGCATGCAAATGCCCATAGAAGGGTAAGAAATGCAGCAGCAAGATATCCTTCTAATGTTTTCTTCGGAGAAAGACGGATAAGTTGTGTTTTGCCAAAGGCAGTACCACATAAATAAGCAGCAACATCGTTAACAATAACAAGGGAAGTCGGAAGAATAAACCATATAAGCCCTGTGTATATATTGGCGATTTGTATTAAAGATTGGCAAACAACGACAAACAAAACCACGAAAATCGTGCCTAGATGGCTGAATTGAAGACGTAAAGATGCTTCTTTTTGTAAGGAAATAATAAAAGCAACAAAGCCACCAAAAGCAGCAACATATACGCCTAAAGAATGATAATTCAACAATAAGCCCTCAAGCCCCATTCTTACAGCCTGCTGCATGCGTACACGAGGTAACGCCCACGGTAAACCCACTGCTGCTATTGTTAACCATAACCAATACCAAGTCAAATAACCAAATGAACTGTTGCGACGCAACAACACGCTGCTGCTGCGCTCCTTTGCCTGCATGCGTGCACATTACACACACTCAGCATTTTGTGCAGTATGATGACGATTACACACAATCAGCATCTTCGTCATCATACTGCCCCTGCTGCTATTGCTGCTGCTACTGCTGCTGGAGTATTCAGACGGGGATCGGCCCACATATAAAGACAAAGAGAGACAGACGAAGAGGAATACAGAAGAGAAAGAAATACAAGAAAGGAGAGAAGAACACAGGGACAAGGAAAAAGGAAGCAGCAGCAACAGAAGGGCACGACGCAGCTATTGTTCTCTACAACTTAAATTATGGTCCCTACAATTCCTGAGTTTTATGGTTTAGGATTTAGAGTCTAGGGTTTAGGGTCTAGGGTCTACGGTCTTGGGCTTAGAGTTTAGAATTTAGGGTTTACCTGGATGATCTCCTTGTAAATGGCAACAATAAGGGATAATACAAGGAGCATGCAGTATGCATGACCTGCAGCAAGGATTAAGAAGAAAAGAAGAACTAAAATAACTGTCCATACACTCCGAACTTTAAAGGTTTCAAACCGCTGCTCCCAGCTCTCCCCTGCTGCTACAACTCCTCCTGGTGCTCCTCCTCCTGCACCTCCTGCTGCACCTGCAGCTCCTCCTCCCCCTGCAGCAGCAATCGCCCCTTCTGTGGACCCATTTAACCGCTTTGCTGCTGCTGCCGAGAGACGCGCACGGACACCTTCAAACCCTCGGCGAACGCCGCGGCCTATGGTGCTCCTGCTGCTGCTGCTGCTGCAGCTGTTGCCGTTATTGTGCGACGGATGAAAAAGAGGCGAGTGCCCGCTGCTGCTGTGGCTGCTGCTGTGGCTGTTGCAGTGGTTGCTGCTGCTCACAGAAACTCCACGTGGACGCCGCAGCAGGCCAAACCGGGCGACTCGCAGCTGGTGCTGCTGCTGCTGCTGCTGTTCTGTTGCAGGTGCTGCTGCTGCAGCTCCTCCTGCTGGGGGCACGGAATATGACGCGCAACGAGCCCGTGGCCGCTGCTTCGGAACAGTATCGTCCTGTGCAAACGAACTGCTGCTACTGCTGCTGCTGTTCCTGCTCCTGCTACTGCTGCTGTTGCTGCTCGGGTCATCGGAGTCACCTCCCAGGGCCTCCTCCACTTCGTCTTCTCGCGAGCTTCCAGCAGCATCGGAAGGGACGGGTGGACCCGACTCGGAATCCCATTCAGCCATCTCTGGCTGCTGCTGCTGTTCCTACTGCTGCCGTTGTTGCTGCTGCTGCTGTAGCTGGTTCTGCTACTCCCTTCGCTGCTGCTGCTGCAGCTGCTGCCGTGGATTCAAGTGTGCATACACCATACACAGCGCTACTGTCTCGTGATGCGGCCGAAAGGTCGGCGTCTCGCCAACAACGGCGCTGTTGGCTGCTGCTGCTGTCCGCTACTGCTGCCGCCTCCGGATATTGCAGTCGCTGCTGCTGCCGCCGCTGCCGGGGGCGGTCTGTCGAAGGCTATGACTTCAAACACCCAGGAAAAAAACAGCAAACTGCCTAAGTTCCTGCTGCTGCTGCTGCTGGTATTCAAGTCCCGCCGCTGCTCCTGCAGCAGCACCAGCAGCCGCAGCAGCAGGCACACTACTACAGCAGCCGGTGGAAGGCCTTGTACTTAGCTGCTGTTGTTCAGCTGCTACCGAGATTCTGTTAAAACGCGCCGGTACCACCAACCAGCACAGGTATATAAGTCTTGCTGTTGCTGCAGCAACAGCAGCAACAACAGCAGCAACAGCAGCAGCCAAGCCCTCGTGGGGGTTCTCTGGGGCACTGCCAAATAATGAAGCCTCTTTGTCGTTGTGCTCCTCCAGAGGCATATTGAATTAAAATTGTTTACTTCGCACAAAATTTTATACATAAGGTGTATAACCTCCTGTCTCGCCAGTAGCAGCAGCAGCAGCTACTGCTGGCTGCTGCTGCTACTGCTGCTGCTGCTGCTTCAACGTTGAAGGATGATGGTGGCCCACGTCGCGGGATTGTTGCTGCATTCCATCTCCCCGTTAAAGTAACAAAGCAAAATGCGCCAGTAACACTTTAGATTGTTGTTGTTTCGGCTGTGAAGGATAGAGGGTTAAGAGGGGTTAGTGTTTAGGCTTTAGGGTTTAGGGTCTGGGGTTGTAGGTTGTGTGTTGATTGACACATCTTCCCCGCCCATACATTTAGTCGTCTTGCGTGTGTTTGTTGTATTTGTTCTGTAGCTGTCATTGCCTTTTGCTTGCAATTTCAGAGTCTTCGGGTATAGAGTTTAGGGTCTAGGGTCTGCGGTTTAGTGTTTGGTATTCGCTACAGCGCTGTCCACACAGCCTGTAGTGCACAGGCACTACAATAGGGCTCTGGTAAGGTTTCTAGCAGCTTAGTGGCCATAGAAAGAGGGATTATCACATTAAAAACTAAGAAAGGGCATTAATACTGCTAGAGGTTCAAAGAATCGAGTACCATAGATAGGGCCATAGGTTAGTAGGATTAACCCCGCCGGCACCCACTCCACCACTCGGGTACCAGGTAGGCCCCTTTAGAGATCTAATTATTACTATAGATGTGTATTATGTCTATAAATACGACTTTGGTGGAGGTCTAGGTCAGGCTCCTGACCGTTCCGCCACCGTTGATATTCACCCCGCCATCGTGTAGGCTGGGCACTGACACCCAGACAGGACCGGGGTCAATTCGAAACAGTTCTTCTACTCTACGAACCCGCATTATTATTACAGACACTCAAAAATGATTTGGTATTCGTGGCGTAGGCTTCGGGGGAATTTGGTAGTTAAGGGTTATACTTAGGGAGTAGGGTACTTCGCGACGGCTAAGTAAGTAGGCGTGACCTAGGATGGCCGCGAACTACACAAACCCTCCAAATAATGTTAGAGTTATCGTGCCTCAGCTGCTTATTTCTGTATTCTCCCTCGAGTCAATTTTGGGTCGCCCCCTACCATATCGCTGCTGTGCTCCTCGAGTATAGAAGAGCGGGGCCTACCGATGTAGCATATTATTGGCTGGCATGGACCAAGGGGGGCATGAGCATAACCAGGCCATAGTAAGCAAACTGCACCCAAAACAAACAAACGTTCACAACAGTTGTCTGCAGTCTGCACATGCAGCAGAGAAGGTGTGTTTGTGTTTGTGTGCCAACGTGTCTGGCTCCTGTTGCACCAAGGTGCCTTCCAACACATGGTTAGCCCCTTCCTCTCCCTCAGTTACAGGCGTTTAGGCTGCTCAGCTGAGAACGCCTGCAGACTGGGAAGGGAGCTGCGCGGTCTTTAAGGAACTCTCATCTAGAGTATCTTTGTGGCTCTTTCGCAGCACGTAACAGTAGGCAAATAAAACTGCAGACCAGGGATACTGTTGGTAGCACCGCCTAGTGTCGACCCATGTACCTACGAGTTTAAGCGTCTTACTGTGATAAGCCCCACAAGGGGTGCAAAAAAAAAGTACAGGGGAGACTCTGGGCCCCTACGGAATTTGCGGCTCAGGGGTCCGTCCACAGGACTCTACAGCCGTACTACCTTGTCCTCTTTGAGGTAGCTCATGGGTATCCAATTTAGTATTGATGGACAACGGTTATTATTGCTACCATGTACGCTCGTTTTTTTGCAAAGTACCGGAGATCCCCACGGCCTGAAGAGGAGAACGAATAGCAAACTGGCGGACATCTATTTCCACCCACCAACTAGTTTGGGTGTAATCCAGTGTTAGCCAAGTGTTAGCAAAACCTGCAGGTGTCGCATTTGAGCCGGCTTCAAGCCTTTCAGCAAGGTCAGGGTGAAACAAGTTTACGATATCTCGGATCGATGAGCCGCTTGGCCGTCTGCAGGGTTCAGTAGTGTAGTTAGCATTGAACTTTGCCTAGGTGTTCTTTGATATTCCAATCCCTCCATGTGACAAACACGAGACTGCATTCCATACCCGCAGTCGCAAGTTGGAATACCCGTGTATGCATTTTGTGTTCATGAATGCACCTGCCGAACAGCACCGACAGGTAAAGCACGATTTTCTGAGACTTTCTAATTATGGATGTGGAGTTATAAGCATGCATGACGTGCTTGTGTTCAACCTGAATCTGCTGGAGTGGCTCCATAAGCTGATGCGCAATCTCCAGCTGGTACCCTAAAACAGTTGGTTCACGTAAGCAAAAAGCTATGTTGGATTTTTATACAACCACTTATATTCTTTAGAGTTCTTGGAGCTCAGGCGTGGTCTCCAGAGGCCTCCTATCATGGATAGGAATAAATACTAAGCAATATATGAGGAACTAGGACACTACTAGATAGAAAACCAGCATAATGCAGAGTGCTCGCCAGTCGGCGCCCAGCTTGGGGCTGGATGCGAGGCTGTCTCTGTGTGTTGTTGCAACAGAATCATCAACAGCTACAGGCGCAGCTACAGGAGCAGCAATAGCTTCTCTAGCTTGTGGTGCTGCTTCTGCCACTGCAACGAAAAAACCTGCAAAATATAAGCACTTTTATGCTGCTTCTGCAGCTTCAGTTGCTTAGCAGAGTGTTTGGAGCCCTAGGCTTTAGGGTATTGAAGCATGGAGCCCTCACCATATTGCCTTTTGATAGGTGCCTGGAGTTTGCTGCTACCTATGCTGCTGTTGTTTCTTCATTTCTTCAGTTTGCTGCTGCTGTTGCTGCATTTGCCGCTGTCGTTGCTGCCTTTGCCCTACTTTGCAGAGACACCGGGTGTCTGAGCATACACTCCGCTGGCACTAACAACAACTGTAACAACTGCAGTAATAATATTAAAGGAATATAATAATAGTAATAATTATTACTGCTAATGTTATATTATTTTTTGGCTATCTTCGGTGGTAGTGTCCTCTTGTTGGTAACAGCAGATGTACAATACTTACAGCAGTGATAGTAATAATTGTTCGTGACTAATAATCATAATTAATAATAGTAAATAATAAAAATTAAAGAAAAAAGAAAACAGTAATGGAAACATTAATAAGACGAGGCGGAAGACGACAGTAACAATAATAATAATCAGCGGCGGTAATAATATTTTGGCAAGGGTAGGGAACCCTAAATCACAAACCCTAAACCGTAGAAAGTAGGGCCATAAACAAAAATAATGAAAATAATTAAAGGAATATTAATATTAGTAATCGTACTAATAATTTTCTCGCAACGACCTGCTGCAGCAACGATCTGCAGCAACGAAGGCAGACGCATGCAGCAGCAGCACTCCCCCTACCGCGCCAGCAGCAAGGCCGGCTTGTGGAGGACACGCCTGCTGCTGCTGCTGCTGCTGCTGTTGCAGCGAAGGTAGCGGAAGCATCGGGTGCCTACAGCAGCTGCCGCTGCTCGGAACAGCAGCAGCAGCAGCAGCAGCATTTGCTGCGCAATGTGCTCATTGATTTAAGTGTGTGCGAGCAGCATCAGCATCAGACGGTTTTGCATTTTTATTTTTGTTTTCCATAGACACGACCTGCGAATACACCCCAGCATCATTCTGCAGCGAAGTTCCTGCAGCAGCTGTTGCCGCCTGCAGCAGCAACAGGAGCAGCACAGCGCAGAGCAGCACCAACGTCGAACGTAGTGGAGCAGCAACAGCAACAGCAGACATTCAGAACCAGACATAAGCAGCAGCAGCCCTCCACCCGGCAGAAACGCTAACAGCAACAAGAGCATCGACAACAGGATAGCATCAACAGCAGCATCTTGACCTTGCGGATCACCACTAGCAGCAGGTGGCTTCAGTGGGAGTAGCCCCAAGTCATATTTGTGCCGAAGCTGCCTAAGGAGAAGGCGAGGATCTGCAAGAAGTTCTTCTTGCTGCTGCCGTCGCGTGCGGCGGCGCCCTTGCTGCGGCCGTTGCAGCTGCTGCTGCAGCAGCTGCTGCGCCTCCAGCTCCTGCAGCAGCAGCCGCCGACGACGGCGCTTCGACAGCTTCATCCATTCTGCAATGAAGGCTGTAAACTTGCCTGCACCTGAAAACATGTAAGCCCGAAGCCCTACGCCCTAAGCCCTAAGCCCCAAACCATAAACCCTAAACTCTAAGTCCTACGTCGAAAGCCCAAAACCACAGTCAACCATATCCACCCAAGCATCATTGGTTGGGGCTTAGGGCTCCGCGTAAGCCTCCGAGTAGGGGTGTTGGGTCGTTGCTGATATATGGTGGTTTAGCGTTTAGAACTGGCGTACCCGATGGTTGGGGTTGGTCAAAGGCTGCAGGGCCAGACTGCAACGCATCTTTAAGAGCATTCTTTAAGTCCTTTAATAAAGAATGCCGTCGGTACTCCGCCTCTACAAATAGCTCTGCGCAACAGCAGCAGCAGCAGCAGCACAGCTCCAGCGGCAGCGACTACAAAGCTCAAGCTGCAGCAGAAACAGAGCCTCGGCAACAGCAAAAGCAGCAATACAGCCTCAGCAGCAGCAACAGAAAAACGTCAGCAGAAACAGAAGCAGCAGTGTTACCTAGTTCTGCAGCTGTTGCGAGAGGTTTGTAGTTGGGGTAATCAGCTGCTGCCAATACATCGAAGACTCCTCCTGCTTCTGCTGCGACCTGCAGCAAACGCCGCCTTTCCTGGAGGTCTTGCTGCTGCTGCTCCCGCATTTGTTGCTGCTTCAGGCGAAGCTTCTGCATGCGTTGTGCTACGCGCAACGCCCGTCCCCTCAAAGGTTCCTTCTGGCTTCCACCCAACTGCTGTTGCTGCTGTTGTTGGTGCTGCTGCTGCTCACTTGAGACACTCCACGGACGTCCCCTAAGGAGTACTGTGGACGGATATGTGAAGACTTCTGATTCTTCCAGGCTGGGGACAGCAGCAGCAGCAGCAGTTGCTGCCGCTGCTGCTGCTTTGCGGTTGCGCTTAGGGCCAAGTACGGGAAAGTTAAGACTTGCTGCAGCAGCACGTGCATGGGTTGTTACTCGATTAACTATACGGGTAAAACGCGAGCGAGGACGCAGCCGCTGCTGCTTCAGCAGCTCCTGCTGCTCTGCAACCGACAACACACGCGGCAGCTGCTGCTGCTGCTGCAGTGCCGCTTGCATCCGCCGCAGCTCCATCAAATTAGGCTTCCCATCATCTGTTATCAAACCTAACTCCTGTGCCACAGCAACACAGACGCACACGCTGCTGCTGCTGCTGCTGTTCCTGCTGCTTCTGCGGCTGCTTCATTTGGTGCTGCTATTTGCAAATGCTGCTCCTCTTGGTGCTGCTGCGACATTTGGTGCTGTTGCATCTCTTGCTGCTGCTTCTTTGCTCGTGCTGCTGCTACTTCTATTGCTGCGTGCCAGAATGATACTCCATCGAGTGTTGCTGCTGGATGGCCGTGTGCCGCTGCTACTGCTTTGCTGCTAACCTGCAGCCGTTGCATGGCAGCAGCAAGTAGTGCGGCCCTAGCAGCAGATGCAGCATTCAGCACTTCCTCGTGTTGCTGCCGGTCATTTGGTGCAGCAGCTTTTGCGGCAGCCACAGCAGCAGCAGCAGCAGCTGCTGCTGCTGCTTCAGGAGGCTTCCATGGTTTGGAGTGTCTATGCAGGTAACACTCAACGAAGGAAGTTTGCGGTATATCTCTTAGAAGCCCAAAGCGGTCAAAGGCGCCATCCTCCAGCAGCACACGAGGAGACACCCCATCGGCCTGCAGCAGCAGAAGCAATACCAGCAGCCGCAACAAGATCAGGAGCAACAGCAACACGCACTACAGCAGCTGACACAAGACCAACGGATGCAACCTTATCAGCAGATGCAGCAGCGAGATGTCCAGGTCAGCAGCAACCAACAACAGCAGCAAAAGCAGCAGCAGCTAGCGGACCTGCAGCCTTCGAGCGAGGGAAAGGGTTTGTTGAAGTTTTCTTTTAAATAATCCTTTATATCGTCTGTGCTGCAGCGCCTGCCATTGTTTATCTAATGTCTTCAGCAGCAGCAGCGGATTAAACCGATTAAGAGGTGATAATTTAAGGGCTTTAAATGAAGGCAGCAAACCACGACGACGACGCAGCAAAGTTCGCCCATATGCAAGGTCTGCTGCTGCTGCTTTTGCTGCTGCCTCTGCTACTTCTGCTGTTGATGGGGCTGCGCCAGGTGATGAGCCTGAGCCTGCAGTGTCGGATGCTGTTGTTGCAGGTGCTGCTGCAGCTCCTCCTTGGTCGTCCTCGTATGCTGAGGGGAAGCAACACAGGAAGAGGTAGATACTTCAGCAACAGCAGCGAGCAAGAGCAGCGCAGCAGCAGCAGCGGGAGCCGGGCACTGAACTCGTTCGGCGCATCGGCCTTTGAGAGTTTAGGGTTTAGGCCTTACGGGGGCCTAAGATGAGCTGAGAAGGAGAAGGAGGTTTGCAAGGTGCAACGGCTGCAGCAAGATGGGCGGCGATCTTCTTTAATGGTTCATCATTCTGGTGTGCGTACACCCCACAGACACAATGGGACATGCATGCACACACTATAGCTACCTCTGCTGCAGCAGCAGCGGCAGCAAAAGCAGTTGACTCTAGACCCCAGCAAAAGCTACAAGCAGAAGCAGCACCCTGTACCGGCAGCAGCAGCAGCACCAAACTGTAGCAGCAGCAGTTGCAACAGGTTGTAGCAGCAGCAGAAGCACATTCGAAACACAGTTGCTGTTCATTCAGCCCTCTACATCGACAAACGTGTATGGAACAATAGCAACAGCAGCAGTAGCAATGGCAGCAGCAGCAACAGCAAGAGGAGCATACGTTGGTCTCTGCAAGCTGCTGCAGCTGCTGCAGCAGTTGATGGAGCTGCGGCTGTTTTGATAGCTGCTGCAGCTTCTGTGCTGCTTCTGTGTCAATAGCAGCAGCAGCAGCAGTAGCAATCCCTTCCCCTGGGGCTACATCAGGAAATGCTGCAGCAACGGCAGCAGCTCCTTCATTTGCAGCAGCTTCAGCAGCAGATCGCAATGCTGCTGCATACGCAGCTGCTTCGTCCTTTAGCGCGGGCGCCGCTGAAGCAGTTGCGGCAGCAGTTGCTGCTGCTGCTTCCTCCGGGCTTGCTGCAGCAATAGCAGCAGCAACTGCTGCTGCTGCCGCTGCTGTCGAACGCGGCATCCGCACATTGCAGGGAGCAGGAATCCGCAGCAAACTAGGGCTGTCCTTCGTGCACTCCTGCTGCTGCTGCTGTAGCAGAAGCAACAGCTGCTGCAGCGGCTCAGCACGTAACGCCTTTAAACCCTCCTCATCCTATAGCGCATTGCAAACCCCTAAACCCTAAACCCTTAATATAACATCCATAACCCCCTAAAACACAAACGCTGAACCCTAGAACACCCTAAAATGCAAACCCTAAACCCTTACGGGAATGGCAATATACTCCGGAGGGGCGTTAACAAAGTCTGTTGGGTCTTTTTGATAAGGCGTTGGTTTGCTGTTTATTGAAGAAGGCCGCCTCTGCAGAACCGCAAGCACTAAACCTTAGACTCTAAACCCTACATGCTAAACCCCAAACCCTAGACCCTAGGGCCCGAAGCTATCGCCACAGCAGCTGTGTCAATACCAGCAGTAGGCACACAATCAAGACAGCAAAGACAGCAGCAGCAGCGGCAAGTACAGCTGCAGCAGCGCCAAGTGCAGCAGCAGGAGCAACAACAGCAAATTACCTTCTTTGGTCGCGTTCTATTCCAGTGCTTCGCTCCCTTCTTTCGAGGGTGGTGGGCATACAGACGCGACTGTTGCTGCTGCTGCTGTTGCTGCTGCTGTGACTGTTGCTGCTGCAGCTGCTGCAGCAGCGATAGAGGCGCATGCACCGGCGAGCCCAAACAGTCATCTTCCATCTGTGCTGCTGCTGCAGCAGTTGCTGCTGCTGCTACACTTGCTGCAGTGCTTCGTGGATACCGGAAAGGGGAAGGAGGTTGCAGCAGCAGCCAAGCACTGCACCGGCTGCTGCTGCTGTGGAGTCCTGCAGCAGCAGCAGCACCGCCACATAGTGCTGCGGGCCCTGCTGCTGCAGTAGGAGCTGTTGTTGACACTGCCGAAAAGCAGATGCAACAAACAGCAGCAGCAGCAGCACAGAACCTCATCCCGCGAGGATATGAGCTTCGAAGATGCAGCAGCAGCAGCAGCAGCAGCCGCTGCAGCGGGCACAGGTCTACTGGTGGTACACCATGGTATGCGTGGACTTTGCAGCTATTGCTGCTGCTGTTGCTGAGGCTGTGCGGCTGCTGATGTTAGTGCTGCTGGTGCTGAATTTTAGCTGCTGCTGTTTGGTTGTCTGTTATTACCCCTCCCGCTGGGGGCTCTCGCTGCTGTTGCTGTTGCTGTTGTTGTTACTGCGGCTGTAAGTTCGATTTTTGCCGCTATTAAGTGTGCAGCTGCAACTGTTGCAGCCGCTGCCTATGCAACCTCTGATGTTGCTGCTGTTGCCGTTGCTACAGCTGCCGTTGTTGCTGCTGCTGCTTCCTTTGCTGCTGCTGCTGTTGATTCTGTTTTAGCGCACAGCAGAAGGCCCTAGGGTTGGCCGTGGAAGAGAGCAACCTGATCGGCCACAAACCCTTAATCCCTAAAGACTATACCATATCTCGAAACCTAGACCCTCTGTTCAAAACTTATAAACTAAACGCTCAGCTGTATCTCCTGCTGTGAGACACCGTTAGGAAAAGACGAGTTGTTATAAAACTTAGAAAATAATTCTGTCGTCGCCGATTTCTTGCTCTAAGGTCTAGGGTTTGGTGTTCAGGGTTTAGGGTTTAGGGTCTACGCCGATGGGGCTGGGGAAAAATTGAGTGTCGACTCCGTGTGGTTTGTGTCTTTCCCCATTTTGTTGTGTTTATATTTCAATATTTAGGGTTTAGGGTTTAGGGTTTAAGGTTCGTTAACGCCGCCTGTCGGGCTCCTTATATCCTTTGTACAGGGCTTGTAGGGCTGCCCGAGTTGCTGCGGTCTAGGGTTTAGGGTTTTTTTCCCCCTCCGGTTTATGGCTTAGGGCTAAGGATTATTGGTTTAGGGTTTAGGTGGTTTAGGGTTTAGGGTTTAGCGCTCTTCCCCAGCCTTTTTGCAATGCCATCCCTAGTGGTGTCTGCTGCAGCAGCAGCACCAGAAGCAGCAGCGGCCTGCTTCGCACGGAAGCCAGCAGAAGCAGCAGCAGCCGCAGCAGCAACAACAGCAGCGGCAGCAACAGCATCTGTTATTTCGGCCTCAGGAGCAGCAGCAGCAGCAGAACACTGCAGCAGCCGTGTTGCTGCTGCTGCGCTACTGCAGCAATTCGATGTCTTCGTCTTTGATTGCGATGGTGTTCTGTGGCACGGCAGCAAGTTGCTGCCAGGTATACGCGAGATGCTGCAGCAGCTGCAGCAAACCCCTCGCACCTGCAGCACCAGCACCAGCAACAGCAACACCTGCAAGAGCGTGTACTTTCTCACGAACAACAGCACACTCAGTCGTAAAGGATTCGTCGCCAAGTTAAACAAGCTCGGCATCGATGCAACGGAGCACCAGGTTAAACCCTAAACCTTAAACCCTAGTCTGTTGATTTAGTGCTTATCGCCTTGTGTACGCCTGCAGAACAGGGCTCGTGTCTGCATCTCAGGGTGTAAGGTTTAGAGTTTGCGTTCTGCAGGTTCTGTGCACAAGCTATGCAACTGCCAGATTCATCCTCTCCCAACAACAACAACAGAAGCAGCAGCAGCAGCAGCAGCGCAGCTGCAACGGCAGTATCACGCAGCAGCAGCAGCAGCAACGAGTGTATGTGGTGGGAGAACAGGGTTTGTTGGATGAGCTGCGCAACAATGGCATTGATGCCTTTGGAGGTCCCGAAGGTGATATTAAACCCAAAACCCTAAACCCTAAGCATAAACCATATCCCTCTTTGTAGACCGTGCTTGCCATATCCCCGGATATTGAGAGTTCAGCGGCGGGTTTAGGGTTTTGGGTGTGAAGCGACTTTAGCCGTTTTCTTGTTTATGGGTGCTGTTTGCATGTGCATTTCCTTTATAAGGGAAATAAATAAACCAACCCAAGCAGTTAACATCTCGCATCTAGGGTTTAGGGTTTAGGGTTCGTGGTTGGTGTGCAGAGTCGTATGAGGCGATAGATTTTAGTACGGATCCTGGTATTTGCGTAAACCCTGATGTAGGGTTTGTGGTTGTTGGATTAGACAGAGATTTTCACTATAAAAAATTGCAAACCGCGCAACTGTACATCAATGAAATGCATGCAAAGTTTGTTGCAACTAATGCAGATCCTCTAGGAAACTTCTCCACTAAACAGGTCGGAAAGCCTAAACCCTACGCCATAAGCCTTAAAACCCTTTTTTTATCCTGCTTTGCTCCTCCACGCGGCGGCTCTTCGACCGTTACGTCAGTGCGTCAGAGCGTTGCGTTAGGGTTTGGTGTGCTTTACTGCTACAGAAATGGGCGGGCGCAGGCACGATGGTTGCTGCTGTTGCTGCTGCTACGCAGCAGCAGCCGGTCCTCATGGGGAAACCCTCGGAGGAGATGAAGCGTTTAGTCCTGGACACCTTAGGTATAGTAGATCCTACACAGTAGCACACGACATGCGGAAGAGGCGGGATCCCCCGACTTCCGCTTGTTACTACTGCTGCTACTGCTGTTTGCGGCCGTTGCTGCTGTAGCTCAAGTTACTGCTGCTCCTGCATGCGTGCCCCCTGCTATCCCCTTTGCTGTTTCTCTTAAACTCAGCTGCTGCACCTCTCCTTGCTTCTGCTGCATGGCGTGTTGCTGCGTTATATACTACGGTTGCTGCATTTGTTGCCTTTGCATCTGCGGCTGCTGCATTTGCTGCTGCCCTTCCTGCATTTGCTGTTGTTGTTGCAGCAGGAGAGAGCTTGGATCGTGTATTGCTGGTGGGGGATTCCCTTCAAACAGACATCGCCTTTGCTGCTGCTGCTGCACTTAAAAGCTGCCTCTGTCTTACAGGCGTCACTGATGGTGTGCTGCTGCGCAGCGCATTCGCTGCTGCTAAGCTCGACAGCAGCACAAACACCAGCAACAACAGCAGCAATGGCAGAGAGCAGCAGCAACCTAAAGCAGTCCTCCCTGACTTTATTATAGATACAGCAGCGAACCTGTGCCCTAAACCCCACAGCAGTTGAGGTGTATCGACACCCCGCTATAAATATTGTGCATGCACCTCTTAATTTAGGTGTATGTACGTCTCAATATGCAGGCTGCAGCAGGACTGCATTTCTGCTTCTTGCAGCAGCAGCGGTATCTGGTGTAGCAGCAGAAGCAGACCCTGTTCCATCATCATCATCAGCAGCGTGTGTTGCAGCACCAGGAGCACCCCTTACGGCAGCAGCACTACCTGTTGCAGCAGCAGCAGCCCCCGTTGCAACAGCAACAGCAGTTGCTGCTGTAGCAACGGGAGACATTGCCCTAAAACGGCTTTTAGTTTAAATTATAATTTAAATAAAAGTTGAAAGGCTGCTAAATACAAACAGCAGCAAATGCAGCTCTGCCGCGACAGCAAACTGCGTCCAGTTGCTGCTGCAGCTGATGTCGCTGCAGCTGCCATTGCAGCTGCCGTTTATGTCTCTGCTGCACCTGCCGATGTTGTAAATGTTGCTGTTGCTGCTGCACCTGATGTTGCTGCTGCACCTGCTGCAGACGCTGATGCTGCAGATGCTGCTGCTGCAGCAGATGCTGCTGTTGCTACCGGTGTACCTCGAATGTCTGCTAAAAGCGCCGTCGGTAGTTTATAAACCCTACACCTCGAAACCCTCCTCACCACGTTGCCTCCCTGTGAGTAGTGTTTAGCAGAAAGGGTTTAGGGATTAGGGTTTTGTAGTAGTCCGTCTATGGGCATTCCTCTACTTTAAAGTTATGTAAAGAAAGACCAACAACTCCCCAACCCATCGCTCCCCCAAACTGCATCGAGGGTTTAGGGTTTAGGGTTTTGTTGGAATTGGATATTATAACTTCCTGTCTCTGGGTTTTGTTCAACTTTAAAGTTATCTAAAGAAAGTCCAACTTTCCCTAAAACAAAATTTCCCAAATCTTTTAATTTACCCATCATTTCTTCTTTTTCTTTCTCAAATAATGCTTCGCTTTCTCTCTTTACTCGCTGCAACTCGCCGCCGTATGTAGACCTGTAAACATAAACAAAACCCTAAACCCTACACCGTAAACCCCAGGAAACAGTGGCTATAAACCCTAAACCGTAAAATACATGAAACCCTACAGAACTCTAAACACTAATGATTGGTGACGGACCGAAAACAAAGGGAACACAGACGCACAGAATGCGAATCCCAAGTGAATCGAGGGTTTAGGGTTCAACAGTTCAAAGGTGTTGAAAGCATAGGGATCGAACGGAATTAGGGTTTAGGGATCAGGGTTTTCACACTATAAGGGATTAGTGTTGAAGTGCAGACACGCGATTAATTAGAGGGTTTTAACTCTGGGTGAGTGTTTTGCGAGGGTTTAGCGCTTATGGTTTATGGCTTACGAGAGTTTTGGGTCGAGCTCTATTGCTTTGTTTAAATCGTTGAGGGCATCGTGCCATTTCTTCTGTCCTTCATACCCGCGGAACCGCCGCAGATAACCCTAAGAAAAACCATACTCTCTAAACCCTCAATCCTACACCCTGAGGCCCCACGGGCGCGACATAATCGCGCGTTACTCCACTCTACTGGTTTAGGGTTTGGCAAAAGCTTCTCGGTGTACCAAGTTGGTTGGGGTTTAAAGTTTATCAATTAGGGTCTAGGGTTTACCAATTAGGGTTTAGGGTCGATCATTTAGGGTTTATATCTTACCTTTGCATAATTAGGGTTTATGCGGATGGCGTCGGTGGCATCTGCAACCACCGAGTCAAACGCGTTGAAATGCAAATGACACAGAGCCCTGCAGCAGCAGCAGCAACAGCAGCAGCAACAGGAATGAGATGCAGCTAGTCCAGGGTTCCTTCAGCGGTGTCCTCCTGCATCAAAGGACGGCTGTGCACTTGCCGCAGCAGGTGCAGTTGCTGCTTCTGGTCTTGCTGCTGTTGTTATTGTTGTTGTTGCCATGCTGCTGTTGTTGCTATGGCATCTGCTGCTGCTTACCTATTGCTCTTGAGGACTGCGTGCATCTCGTCTAGCTGCTGCAGCTGCTGCAGCAGCTGCCTATATTTAGTCAAATCCTCAGCTGGCAGCAAATGTGCAGCAGGGTGCTCTCTTGGATCCTCCTGCTGCTGATCCTTCTGCTGCTCTTCCGGCTGCTTCTGCTCCTCCTCCTCTTGTTTCTGCTGCTCTCCTTCTTGCTGCTGCTGCAGCGTCTCAGCCTTAACCTCTAAAGCATCAAGTTGCGTCTCTACTTCTTCTGTTTCTTTCTCTAGTTTATTAATGGCAGCAGAATACAACTGCAGCGCAGCAGAAGCAGCACCTCTTTTATATTCCGCATTTCCTCTTTCTTTTAATTCTGCTGCTGTTTGCTGCTCCTCATCTTCATCACCATCTAATTCTTCAAAACGAGGACCATCTTCAGCTGCTGCGGCTGCTGTTGGTTCTGTTGCTGCTGCTGGTTTTGCTGCTGCTGCTGGTGGTGGCGATGGTTCTGCATGGGCTGCTCGTGGTGGTGATTCGGCTGCACCTGCTGCTGGCAGTGGTTCTTCTTCTGCTGCTGCTGGCGGTGGTGATTTTTCACGACGACGTCCATCTGCTGCTGCAGCAGCTGCTGGTTTTGCCGCTGCTGGTTCTGCCTCTGCTTCTGTTGAAGACGACTTACAAGTGTCCTGCTTCTGCTTCTGCTGCTGCTCTTGCTGCTCGTCGTGTTCACACGACACCTCGCCTATGCGTGTAACCCCACTAAGGAGATCTGCCGTGCTTCTTGCTGTTGTTGCAGCTTCTGTTGCTGCATCTGCTGCTGCAGATGCTAGCTCTTTTGCTGCTGCTGCTGCGTCTCCTGCTTCCGCTGCTGCTGCTTCTGCAGATCCTGCCTCTGCCGCCTCTGCTGCTGCGGCTTCTGCCTCTGCTGCTGCTTCTGTTGCTCCTGCCATGTCCTCCACGTGTAGAGACACTGGAGGGGAATCAGCAGCTGTTGCAGGTTTTGCTGCTTCTGTTGCTGCTGCTGTACTGTCGGCTGAAGCGGTTGCTGCTCCTGCCTCTGATTCAGACTCTGCAGCAGGCTGTTTGCTTACTCCTCCTGCCTCTTCTGCTGCTGGTACTGCTGCTGTTGCACCCAATTCCTTGTCTGTTGACTCCAATGGAGTCGCACCCGACAATGTCGCACCCTTTTCACCACTGGTTACTGCAGCAGCAGCAGCAGCAGCAGCTGTTGCTGCTGCTGCATCCGCCGTTGCTGCTGCTGCAACAGCTTCTGCTGCAAGGCCATTGACCACACGCGCAGCAGCAGAGGCGCTGCACTCGGCAGACTGCTCCTTCTTCTGCTCAGGCTGTTGCTGCTGCTGCTCTGCTTGCTGCTGCTGCTGCTTGTGTTGCTCCACGGGCTCGCGCCGCTGTCCATGTTCTTGCCGGTGCTGCTGCTGCTGATCTGGCTGCGCGTCACTGTCCGACACCTCGTGAGTCGTGGCAGCAGCAGCTGCTGCTGTCCCCGCTGCAGCAGCAAGTGCTACGTCCCTGGCAGCAGCAGCACGCGCCGCGGCAGCAGCAGCAGAAGCTGCTGCTGCAGCATTACAGACTGACGCTGTCTTGCTGCGACTGGGACAATCTTCTTCTGACTGAGAACAATCTGCTTCTGCGCTGCTGCTGCTGTCTGCCTCTTCTGCTGCTTCTTCGGCGGCTGCTGTGCGTCGGCGACGAAGCTTGCTGCTGTTCATGGTGCTGCTGCTGACAGCCGTTTCCGAATCCTGCTGTTGCCGAAGCTGTTTTTGTCGCAGCTCCGGCTGCTGCTTCTCCTGCTGGAATTCATGCTGCTTATCTTGCTGTTTTCCTTGCCGTTGCTGCTGCTGCCGTTGCTGCTGCTGTTGATGCGGATTCGGGTTGGAAGAACTCGCAAGTGATGCTGGCCGCCGCAGCAGCAAATGCGTTGCTACTGCTGCTGCTGCAGTGAGCAGCAGCAGCAATAGCAACAGCACCATACTGGAAGAGAGTAAGTCAAGCCCAGTTGCTGCCGTTTTTGCTGCTCTTGCTGCCGCTATGTGCTGCTGCAGTTGCTGCTGCGGCGGGTGTTGCAGCTGCTGCCTCTGCTGCAGCGGGAGACCAGTAGCAACAGCAGCAACACCAAACAGTGCAGCACCTCTTGCTACTGTCAAGTTGGAAGCCGAAGAATTGGGTGTACAAAGCCTCGAAGATTCTGCCGCTGCAGCGCCAGCGGCTGCAGCAGCAGCTGGAGTATGGTCCCTGCTGCTGCTGTTGCGGCTGCTGCTACTACTACTGCAACGCCCTAGATAATCTTTAGAGTTTGCTTTTTGCTGCCTCTCCCTGCGTTTATTTAGCTGAAACTTTTAGAATTAAACATGAGACAAGCAGCAACAGCAGCTGTTGCAGTGCCCTGCTACTGCTGCTGCTGCTGCTGCGCCGCAACGGTTGCGGCGGCTGCAGCACATGCAACAGCAACAGCAGCAGCAGCAGCAGCAGCTGGCGTTCACTCGATCCGGGACATAACAGCAGCTACAGCAGCAACAGCAGCAAAATTCTTTATGCTGTCTTACCTTAATGTTTTTATAATAGAAGTTGCCGATCAACTTGTAGAGAATTGCGCAGCAGCAACAGCAGCAGCAGGCTTTTTCTGCTGCTGCTGCTGCTGCTGCTGCGGTTGCTTAGATCCTCAAGTCTTGAACAGAAACGGAGGCGTTAGACACACCAGCAGCTGCAGCAACTAGCAGCAGCAGCAGCAACAGCAACAACGGCAACAACCCCAGTCGCTGCGTGAGGTTGCTTGGCAGGTGTGTCCCCTGCTACACCTGTTGCTGCTGCTCCTACTGCTCCTGCTGCTGCTGCTCCTGTTGCTTGCATCGAGGCGCATGCTCAAGGAAGTTAACGTGTTGTAGCGCTTGCTGCAGCGCAACAATCTAGTATAGTAGCAGCATTGGCAGCAGCAGCAGCAGCACCGCGCAGCCATGCAGGGGGATCCAAAGCTCCCTGTTGCAGCAGCGAATGCTGCTGGGGCACCTACTGCTGCAGCACTACCTGTTGCAGCAGCAGCAACGCCTGGTGCAGCTCCTGCTGCACCTCCCGTCACACCAGCTGCTGTTGGTGCTGCTGCAACAACATCTGCTGCGGCATTACCAAATCCAGCAGCAACAGCAACGGCGCCCCTTGCAGCAGCAGGCGCCCCCCCGGTTGTAGCAGCAGCAGCACCCATGACAATTACAGCTGCAGCAGGAACACCTGCAGCAGCAGCAGCAGCAATGCAACCTGTATTTCCTCCGGTGGATGTTTGTGTTGCACCGCAAGATGGCACGGCTCAGGCACCAGCAGCAGCAGCAGGAACAGCAGCAGCACAAGTACCTGCTGCTGCTAGCCGTCTAGCGCAGCTGTTTCCAGCAGCAGCTGCAACGCTGCAGCACTTTGTAATGAACATAGATCGTTTCTGTGAGGGACCGGGCAGCAGTAGCAGTAGCAGCAGCAGTAGCAGCAGCGGCAGCAGCAGTAGCCTTAACTGCATGAGCATCAGTAGCAGCAGCAGCATAGGGACTGAAGATGCCTCTGAGCGGCTTTCCGCTGCTCGAAGCTGCTGTGTTGCACTGCAGCAGATAACAGCAGCAGAAGCAGCAGCAGGCAGCGCAGCAGCAGAAGCAGCAGGAGGCACAAGCTATGCCGCAGGAGCGGGAGCTGCTTCCATCGAGGCTGCTGCGTTGTTGCTGCCAGCTGTGCTGCAGCTGCTGCAGCGGCTAGAGATAGGGAGAAGGGAGGGAGAGCCACATGCGCTGCAGCAGCAGCTGCTCCTGCTGCTGCGGGCTCTTGCAGTTCCTGCTGCAGCACCCCTTGTGTTGACACCGCAGCAGCTTGCTGCGCTGACACCGCAGCAGCAGCAGCAGCTCCTCGACAATCACGCTACACTCCTCCCAGTAAATCCTAAACCCTTAACGCTAAACCCTCGATGTTGTAGCATTGGCAGTTGTTCTGCACTCCTGCTGCTGTGGCTGCTGCTTTTTCAGCATATATCTGCTGCACATATATACTTGCTGCTGCCGTTTCAGACCTGCTGCGAACTTGTGTGCACCTCCTCTCTCTTGTGCTGCTGTTGCTGCTGCTGCTGTTGCTGCAGCGGTTGTGGAGCGGGTGTCTGCAGAGCATTGGAGGCGGTTGCGAAGAATGCGCTGTTCGATGTTTAGGGACGTTAATTGAAATCTCCAAACAAATTAAAGAACCGAAGGGTTTAGCAGAAGAACTTATTGCTAAAACGCTACCTCCTGTAAACCCCAAACCCTAAACTAAACCCTAATCCATAATCCCTCATACACGTTAAATAGTGAACGGGTTTAGCAGAAGAACTTATTGCGAAAACACTAACTCCTGTAAACCCTAAACCCTAATCTAAACCCTAATCCATAATCCCTCATACACGTTAAACAGTGGAAGGGTTTAGCAGAAGAACTTATTGCAAAACACTAACTCCTGTAAACCCTAAACCCAAAGCACAACCATTGGGGGGCGGGGGGGACAAGCGACAACACATTCTCGCTTGTCCCCCCCCAATGATTCTGCTTACATTACTAATGCTGCTGCTTCCCCCGCTCCTCCTGCTCCTACTGCTGCAGATATATGAAAAGCTGATTGCCGCGATAGAGGGACAGGTGGAGACCTACAAACGAACAGGAGTGCTACCCAAGCCTGGCGAGCTCCCGCTCGGTCAGTGCTACTGCTGCTGCTGCCGCCGCCGCTGCTGCTGCTCCTGGCGTTGCAGCTGGTGCACTTTCAATATTGCAGTTGTTGCTGCTGGTGTTGCAGCCCTTGCGTTCGAACGGGTATACGGTATGTTTCCTTGAGTTCCGAGTATATGACTTAGGGTGTAGGGTTTAGGGTTTGTGGTTTGTGCTGCAGGAAGCGTAAAAAGGGATACTGGACAGCTAACACCTGCACATTTATCTGTTCGTGTTGGAGGAGATGCTGCCTACTGCATTATTGCATTAAATGCAAAACTTAAAACCCTTAAAGTCTTCGAAGCACCCCATAACAGGTTCCCCACAAACCCCAAACCCTAAGCCCTAAATACATCTAGATGGGAAATGCGTGCAAATCCGGAACAGCCACTCCTGCTGCTTCTCCAGCTATCTCTCATAATCCCTAAACCCTAAATGACAGGTAGTACCTGCTGCATACACCTGGACGACGCGTCGGCCCAAATGCTGCTGCTGTTGCTGCTGTTGCTGCAGGGTTTGCCTCGATTTGCTGCTTCGCATTGTGGGGTTGGAGTTGCCTCCTGCCTTCCTCAATGATCCAGCGACGGCGGAAGCCAGCAAAGGTACTGCTGTGGTTGCTGCTGCGGTTGCTCCTCTTGTTGCTTGTGTTGTTCTTTCTCGAGTTCTGCTCCTGCGGGCCGTGCAGTATTGGATACCCCCGGGATGATGCCACTGCTGCGGTTGCTGCGGGTGCAGATTTATTTCAAGCGCAAAGCCGCATTTTGCTGTTCATCTGCTACTTGCTGAAGAACAAAGCCACAGGCGACAGCAGCAACAGCAACGCTAGCAGCAGCAGCAGCAGTTTGGACAGCTTCACAACAAAGGCGCTGCAGCAGCTGCCGCAAGTGATGGTTAGGCTGCTCCAGGCCCTCAAGCCACCGCTTTTCCTCAAGAGAAAGACTGTAAGCCCTGAACCCTAAGCCGTAAACCCTAGATATAAACCACCAGCCAGTAGTGTCTCCTGCGGACCCTTGTCTTTGCCAGCAGGGTTACAGCGTCGGCTGGCTTGAAGGCAGTCTTTCCTCTTGCCAAACCCTCAACCGTAAACGGTGATTTTGGGGTGTCTATGCAGGTACACGAGGCGGCAAAACTGCTGGCAGCATCTCCCTTTGTGTCGGCATTAAACCCCGTTGTGGAGCAGCTGATGGCCTTGGAGCTTGCAGTGTTTACAGAACGCATCGACTCCTGTTTGCTAAGGTGGGGGTTAAAGGTTTAGGGTCACCGGTTGAGGGCGTAGGTTTTAGTGGTTAAGGACTGACGGGTTGAGCTCAAAGGAAAAGGACTAGAGTTTGGGGGGAAGAAAGGTTTGAGGGCTTAGGGTTTAGGTCTTGTGTGTGTTGTGGCCCAGGGTGTACACCATATGTCATCTCCACGACTTTTTGCTTATTTTCCCTTCGCCTATTTGCGTTTCTCTCTCTCTGCTGCTGCGGATAGTGCGTTGGTGCGGTTTGCTGCTGCTGCAGTCTAGGCCGCACCTGTCAGCAGCAGCAGCAACAGCAGCAGCAGCTGCAGCAGCAGCAGCGCTCAAGTCGTTTGAGAATGAAGATGGCGGGGCTTTCCATGCCGCGGCAGCGGCAGCGGCGGCAGCAGCAGCAACGGCAGCAACCGAAACAGAACGCAGTGGGGGCCTTGGTGCAACAACAGCAGCAACAGCAGCAGCCGCAGCAACCGGAGGAACCCTGCTAGCCGATCTGAGCATTCGGCATTTGGTTGCAAAGCTGTTGAACTTTGTCTGTGATTTGGCAGTCAACAAGTTTTCAGATGCTGCAGCAGCAGCAGCAGCAGCTGAAGCATCAGCAGCAGACACAGAAGCAGCAACGGGACCTGCTACAGCAGACCCTGGTGCTGCTTCATACAAAACCGCGGCCGACGCTGCAGCCACACCACAAACATCTGCGGCTCATGCGGGACATGTAGACACGTCAGCAATGGGTGCTGCCGCTGCACCTGCTTCTGCAGCAGACACTCATGGGAGCCAAACACGCGACGCAGCGCCCGATGCAGCAGCAACAGCAACGGCAGGGGCGCAATCAACAGCAGGAACTGTAGCAGGAGCGACAGGGGAAGCTTGGCAAGGACAAGGAGCTACAGCAGTAAACAGCAGCAGCACCAGCAAGGAAACAGTGCAGCGCATGCAGAAGGAAACAATGAATTTGCTGCTTCTAGCCCTGCGTATACTTTGCTCTTGTCTTGTGGAGCTTCAGGCAGAAATCCCGCATGTATGTTTACGGTTTAGGGTTAGGGTTTGCTACATGCAGTTTAGAGTCTAGGGTTTTATGCTGAGTGCAAACCGTTTTGGGGGGTTGGGAATGGGGGTTTAGTGCTTAGGGTTTGGGGTTCAGGGTTTGTGTGGTATCTGCTGCGGGGCGATGTTTTCAGATGCATGCAGCGGCTTGCAGCGACGGCCTTGAAGAGGCCGAAATCAGCGTTAGCAGTAGCAGAAACCGAGTTTATTTTTATCCGCCTGCAGTGCCTCTGCCAGGGGTTGGGGGATCAGCAGCGGGACCCGCAGGAACAGCAGCAGCAGCAGCAGCTGCTGCTGCAGCAAAGCCGCTGACCCCGCAACAGCAGCAAATATACCAGGGATTTTTGAGGGAAACAAAGAGTTTGCTGCGCAGCACCTGTATAGCTCTGCGTTGTCTAGTCTATCAGATTGTGGTGCTGCCTCTGCAGCAGCAGCAGCGCCGTCAGCAGCAGCAGCAACAACAGCAAGGGGCGGCAGGCTCGTCGTTTCCTGCAGGCCCAGCAGCTGCATCTGGAGGAGGTAGCGGCAATAGCAGCAGCAACAAAAGGACATCCTTCGATGTGCGGTTGCTCCCACAAGGGCAGATGCTGCCTCCTGGGTATAGGGGCTTGCTTGCTGAAGCCTTCTATGCCACTGTAGGCAGCGCGCTTACTTATGCAAAGGTAAACCCTAAGCCCTAAACCCTAAAGATCCTTTCCTAAACTGCAGTCGATCTGTACAGGCAAATTTCGACTCCAACACGTGCCTGCAGCAACCCTCCAAAATCGGCCCTCTAGATGCTTCCAGTTGCTCCTCCATTAGGGTGACCGCGAGGATTTAAATTTTAGGTTTTAGGGTTTGGTGTTGGCTGCCGCAGTGCTTTGCATATGCCGCGACGTCAAGGCTGCAGCACCATGTTGAAGAGGGCGGCATTGGCTGCACCCTCATTGCCTTACCTCCCACGTACCCCGTGGCGGGCTCCTTGTTCAAGGTGAGGGTCTAGCGTTTAGGTTTTAGCGGCTTTGAGGGTCTTGGGTAAGGGCGCATCAGGGCTTAGGGTGTTTGGGGGTGTTTGGCGTTTTTTTTTCGAAATTTTAGGGGATTAGGGTTTACGGATTAGGGTTTAGGGTTTACTGTTCACGGTTTCGGGTCTATGGTGTTTCAGGGTATACCGGAGGCAGTGGAGGTATTGGGGTTGAATGTTGCCCAAGTGGAGGAGAAGGAGTTGCTGGAACTTGCCTCTTCTTCTCTTGCCTTTTTGCATCCTTCCGATGCTGCTGCATTTGCTGCTGAAGCAGCAGCGCCCCTGCAGCAGCTTCTGGCTCTTTACCCGCAATGTGTTGGCCTCATTCAATTCTTCTTGGGGCACCAACACACCAGCAAGGTAAACCCGAAACCATCTTTACCCTTCCACACCCGGAACCTCCCTTCCCTGTGCTGGCCCCTCCCAGCTACCCTCCTGTGGGGTTAATTTTCTACGGTTTAGGGTTTGGGATTTGCTGTTTTTGCAGACGTTTGCCTGGGCCTTCTTAGAATATTTGACCCCTCGGCTTTCGCTGCTGAGGGAGCGGCGTGCAGCGCTTCTACCCCCGATGCAGCCGCAGCGCAACCGAATCATCCCCTGCATGCGTAACAGCAGCAGCAGCAGCAGCACCTACAGCAGCAGCGGCAGCAGCGACAACAGCAGCAACAGCAGCGGGAACCGGCATAGCGATGAGGTCCTCCTTGAGGTGTATAGACAGTTTGATGGGTGCACACAACTCTCAGGGGAGGCGAGCGATCTACTGATGTTACCCTTAGAAATGCAAGTCCCCGTCGCTGGCCAAGGTCCGCTAATAGCTACACCCTAAACCCTAAAACTCTAAGACAGGCGCAGCGGTCAAACGGAAGTGTTTGGCAGAGGGGTTTTTGCACATGGGCCTAGTTTTGAATTGTTTAGGAAGTTTTACGGTGTGCGGTTTAGGGTTTGGTGTTTGTGGATGTGCAGGCGTGTTGTGTTTAATGCCCTTTCCGCATATATCTGCTCAACTTGTGGGGCCATCGCAAGCCCCTGATGCTGCAGCAACATGCGCAAGGCATGCATGGCAGCGGTTGTGTGCAGCACGGCCTCCTGCTGCTGCTTCTGCTGCGGCTGCTTGTGGCTGCTGCTGCAGCAACAGCAGTAGCAACAGCTGCAGCAGCAGCAGCAGCAGTAACTTCTGCTGCTGCAGCAGCACAGGAGGCAGACCCCCCAGACAGCTGGGCTTGTCTCAGCAACTCCTCTTTTCCGTCGACATCTTTGATCGAGCTGATGCAGTCGCGGCCCAGGACGCATTCAAGGTAAGCCGAAACTCTAAACCTTACCTAACCCCCAAGCCCTAACCATAAAGCCTAAGCACGTCATGCTATACCGCTTGCCGCAAACTCTCGCATGCAAGCCCAAAACCTCCAGATGAATTCAACAACGCAATCCTTGCAATTTCGGGTTCTACACCACGCCAGCCCCACGCGCCATAGGGTTGAGGGTTTAGACTGAAGGGATTGGGGGTTGTTTCTCAGGTTTGCGACCCAGTGGTTGACGCCGCCATATTGCGTGGGGCCTCCCGAGTGCCTGAAAGCTCGCAGCAGTTTATTGTGAACCATCAGGATGTGCTTAAGGTATGCTGCTCCTCCTGCTGTTGCTGCTGCTGTTGCTGCAATGGTGGTTTATCTGCCGTGGGTTTCTGGGTATCTCTCTACTTGCAACGGGAGTGTCCGGACGAATGCACTATCTTGCTGGTGCTCGCCTGATTCTGCTGCTGCTGTTTCTACTTGTGCTGGTGCCGCTGCAGGCCCATGGTTCTACGATATTGACTCTACCTGAGTTGTGCAGCAGCTCAGGCAACAGCAGCGTCAGTCCGCATGCACCAGATTTTGCTTCTGCTGCTGCTGCTAGCAGCCTCTCCGAGATATCTCCTCGCCTGTCAAGGGTCGGCTTGGAGCGGCTGCTACTGCAACAGCAGGAGCACTGTTGCATATACCCCTCCACGTATCTTCCTCAGTACTACGGCAAGGAGGGCTGCTGCTGCTGCGCATGCACGGACGCAACAGCAGCAGCAGTGGCGGCAGCAAAAGCTTCTGCGACTTCACCCGCCGCTGCAGCAGCAGCTGCTGCTACTGTTGCTGCTGCTGGGCCCATCAGTGTGCAGCAGCGGAAGCTTGGCTGCCGCTGCGGCCGCTGCTCCCCTCTGTTACCGCAGCCGACGCAGCACACTGCTGCTGCTGCTGCTGCTGCACAGATGGTGCAGAGAATGCTGCAGCTGCGCAGTGCGGATGAGCCCAGTGCGGGGCCATCTGCTGCAGCTCCGAATGCGGCCCCTGCGCCTGCAGGTACACCAGCAAGAGCAGCAGCAACAACACCAGCAGCAGCAGAAACAGCACCTACTGCTGCTTGGCCCTTCCCTCCTGTTAAGCCTTGGGTGGGTCCCAGCACATACGTTGATACCGGAGATATATGTCCTGGAGAAGACGGCTTGCTACAGGCAGGCACAGGTCAGCAACACACGCCGTAAACATAATCCCTATAAATCCTAGCCAGCCTGTGCCGATTTCGGCACTGTAGGAAGGACTGATGGCACGCCAGCTGGAGCGTCAGATGGAAGGGCTTAGGGTCTAGGCCTCCCAGGGTTCATGGTTTGGGGGCTGGGTTTTAGGGTTTAGGATATAGGTTTTGGAGTGGCTTTTCAGGGTTCTGCCGCATGAGTCCCGTTGCTTCACTAGTGCGGCTATTCCGGTATCTGCTCAAGGCGGTCGTCGGTTGTCGGGACTGCGAAGCTACTCTCGTAAAACCTAAACCCTAATAAAGACTTGTGTTGCAAAGACCACACCATAAACATACTGCACAGAAAACCCTGACCCTATACGATAGCGCGTTGAAGACTACTGGGAGGTCTTGCCAAGCGGCGTTGGTTGCCCTCACCAAACCCTGAACCACTACTTTGTTTCTTTCTACCTGCAGGCATACCCATTCCTCCAACACATCTGTAGAAGCAGCGCTCACCTGGCTAGTATAAGCAACTTTTCGCATGTGTTGCTGGGTCTGCTAAGAGTCTTTCTGCGCCAGATAACCCCACCTGGTAGGGATTAGGGCTTAGGGCTTAGGGTGTACGGCTATGTGCAGAGGGAGGGCGCTTGTTAGGGGAGCTTGCAAGCGAAAGCTGCTCCTGTGGAACGCTACTGCGGGGATATTGAGCCTTGATCTAGGGTTTAGGGCCTATGGTGTACGCGTGTCTGCAGGTCGATCGATCCATTTCTTTGCTTCCTTCACCCCTCTGTTACATTCTTACCTCCAGACGTGTGCAGCGCAGCAGCAGTCCGGTGGGTTCACCATATGAGCCTTAGGGCTTAGGGTTTAGAATGTAGAGTTTGCAGTACGGGTTGGTATTAGTGTGGCCTGGGGGGTGGATGACGAAATTGCTGGGAAAACGGTGACCCGAAGGGTTCAGGAATTAAGCGTGGAGGTTGGGGGTTTATTATTTGCTGCAGCCCCGGACGTGTTGAAAGACTTGTGGATAGAGTTCTCGCTCTTGGCCCCTGCAAGACTGAAGCACCTGCTGCCTCACATGGGTAAACCCTAATCCCTCGCCTTCGTATCTGGGTGTTTATTGTAAAGGTCATGAAGCGGTTGAGCAGGGTCCAGGGGTTAGGGTTTCGAGCACTGCCGCTCTCCATTGCGGGGGTTTTGCTGCCTCGATTGAGTTCGAGGATGTTTGGTTGGCCTTGAGCAGGGAGCGGCTACAACGGGTTTAGGGTTTACGGTTTGCGGTTTAGTGTTTCGGGCTTGTCTTTAGGGTTTTTGGTGTATCCGCTTCTGCGGTCTCTACGAAGCTCCGATGCGGATCTTTTAACTCTTAGTCTTCGCACAATTGAATTATGGGTAGAACATCTTCACGCTGATTTTGTTTATCCCGTCCTTGCGTCTCAGGTAAACCCTAATCCCTTGCTTCTAGCAACATCATGCTATAGTCGCAAACCCTAAATCTTGCAGCTAGCCCACGTTCTGTCCGCAAGACCCAAACACTCCCTACCATTCCTAAACCCTCCGGGCGGAATTTGTGCTAAACGCAGTTATTGCACGCAGAAGGCTTCGTGCTAAAGTGTTTAAGGTTTAGGGGTTGGGTTTTTGTGGTTACAGGTGCAGCAGGGGGCGCGGCAGCAGCGAAGAACATTGCTGTTGTCAGCGTTGCTGCAGTTGCTGCAGCCGCTGCCTCCTCCTGCCCCGACGCCGTCGTTGCTGCTGTCTCGCTACTTCATAACAAGCTGTAGCAGCAGCAGTAGCAGCAGCAGCAGCATCGTGCAGCAACAGCAGCACGAGAAGCATGCAGAGATGGTCATAAAAATCCTCGGCAAGCTCGGAGGAAAGAACAGAGCTTTCTTAAAAGACGCAGCTGTCTGTACACCCGAACCCTATTTTAAGCCGGTCCTCAGCATCGGCCTCCCTATAGGACCTTGCAGCAGCAGCAGCGGGGACTCACAGCGGCAATCTGTAGAAGTTGATGATGATTGTTTGCTGGTTGCTGCAGAACCGCTGCAGCAGCGCCATCACCAGCAGGAACAGGAACGCGTTGCATGCATGACTGCAGCCGCAGCAGCAGCACACCGCAACTACAGCAACAGCAGTGCCAGCCGCATCTGCTACGAAACTGTGCTGCAGCTGGGTCTTGATCGCGTCGTAGCGCTTGTGCTGCAGCTGCTGCAGCACGCTGATGCAGACAGAGCAGCAGCAAGTCTGTGCTATGCTTCTGAGCCGCTTCTTACTTCTGTGGGATCTCGTATTGCAGCACCACCGCACCAGCAGCAACAACAGCAGCAGCCGCGGCGGCAGCAGCCAGCTGTCCGCGCTCTGAGGAGAGCTCTATCGATCATCCGCAGCCAAAAGAGCAGCAACAGCAGTAGCGGCAGCCCAAGCGATGCCAGCGAGAGCAGCACGACTGCAGAAGAGGATTCGGAGGAGGAAATCGGCGGAAGCAATAGCCCTTCAGCAGAAGCAGCTGCAGTTGAGACAGCGGAGCGGGAAGGCCTGCAGCTGCTACATGGGCTTTTTGCTTCCGACGGCGCTGCATCCCCCGGCTTGTGTCTCTCCTTATGCGAGAGTTGTGTTGCTGCAGACATGCGCAGCAGTGCAGGGCAGCTGCTGCAGCAGGTGCTGCTGCTGCTTGTTGACTTCGATTCTCCCCTCTCCTTATACTGGTTGCTGCTTACCACCCGTGCTGCAGCTACTACGCTGCAGCAACAGCAACAACATCAGCATCAGCAGCCGCGAGTCATCTATGTGAAGGACAGCAGAAAGGAGAGCAGCAGCAGCAGTAGTACGGCCATTCCTGATGCTAGTGGGCTCCCGCTGCTGCCACAGTCGGGTGCCCGGCTACCTGCTGCTGTTGCTGCTGCGCTGCAGCAGCAGCATGTAGATTTTTGCAGCGATAGGGTGATACCTACAGCAGTAGCAGCACAGCATCAGGAGCTGTTTGAGCGGCAGCAGTTGCTGCTGCAGCAACAGCAACAGCAATGGGACGGTCTTGCTGCTGCTGCGGTTGCTTATCCCCTAGATAAGCGGCGTGCTGCACTGCGGTCTAGGTGCCACAGGGAGGCGGAGCAGCTGCTGCTGCAGCAACTGCTTCAGGCCTTGCTGCTTCTTGCATGCGACGACGCTGTCTATGAAAGCCGGCAGCAGCAGCTAGCCGTGCTCAGGGAACGCGATCTGCCCCCTGACCAACGGAAGCAGCAGCAGCAGCAGCAGCAGGAGACGACAACCAGCAGCAGCTGTGCAACATTTGTCTACAACTTGCTGCAGCACTGCGCACTCATCTTTGCTGCTCGTGTGGGGTCAGAGGATGCCCCTCTCCTCTCCAGCAGCGCGGCGCTGCACGAAGTAAGGGCTTACGGCTTAGGGTTTGGAGAGAGCCGGTGTCGCTTGGCTGCCTGCCCTTCTGTAGTGAAGCCTATTGTGTCTTAGTCATATAAACATATACGTCGATAAATAGATAAAGATACATATAGAACTGTTAATTATACTATTATCTATATATATTAAAAGTACATTGTGTGCGTGTGTGTGACTGTGTTGGGGTGTGTATTCAGCTGGACGCTGCATGCGTTGTTAGGGCATTGATTGGTTGTCTTCGCGTTGAAGCATCAGCGTTGCTGCCAACATTGCATGCAGTCCGAGCTCTGGAGAACTGCTGCAAGACGTTTGTCTTGGTGCGCTTCAGGGTTTAGGGCTTGTTGGGGTTTGTTAGAGTTTCGTCGTGCGTTTCGAGGGTTTGTATGGATTCTTGGGTTTAGGGGGATATCCATCCACATAGCAAGAGTACAAAGGCCTAGTTTTCCTTACGGTGCATCAGTTCTAGCAAGGGTCTAGGGTTAGTCAGGTGTTAGTGTCGTTAGTGGCGTGCTTGTATATTAAGGTTTATGGTCTAGGATTTACGCTTCAGGGCTTGGGGTTTATGGTATTGATCTGCAGGTGCAACCGGGTTGTGCAGCAGCTGGCTGCAGCAGCAACTTGTTGGTGGTTTGCTGTGGGGCCCTTGTACGTCTTTGCTTCTCTTCTAGTATAGCTGAGAGGACAGGCGGCTGTTTTGCCTTCCTTCGTCTTCTTCGTTGTCTTCCTCCTCTTTGGTCACGCAGACATTTCCTACGAATCGCCCAAGCAGCCATCAATTGCCTCAAATGTGCAGGTGCGAAGCGAGGGTGTAGGGTTGATGGAAGGGCAGGCGAGCTTCGAGGGTTTAGAGGTTACGTATTAGAGGGTTTAGGATCTTGCGGTTGCGTGGGGTTGCCAGAGTTGGGTTGAGAGTGGCTACGACTTAGGTTTTAGAGTCTTAGGGTGGTTTTGGATGGATTAAGGGTTTGGGCGTTGGGTGGTGTAGGGTTGATGCCTTCGGGAGATTAAGGGTAGGTCGGCCTCGTGGTGTGTAGGGTTTAAGGTTTAGGGTTTTGTGCGGCTTGTTGCAGAGGGTACGGATGCGCGGTTGAGTGCCTCTCTAGCGGAGGAGTTGATGCTGTTGCTGCTGGCCCACAGCTGCCTTGGTTACTGCGGTAGAGTGCGCCTGCCTTGGCTGCTGCAGCTGTTCCGTTACGTGGGAACGCATCAGCAACTGTCGCAGCAGCAGCAAGAGCAGCAGCAGCAATACGAGCAGCAGCTCCTACAGCAGCAGGCCCACTCCCCCTTCCTTCGTGGCGTCCTGGCTGCAGCTGAAGCTGATGCGGCCTTAGGTGCTGCAGCAGATGCTGCAGCAGCACATGCCGCAGACCCAGCAGCAGCAGCAGCTGCTGCTGCTGCGGCGCCCCCTCCAGATGCCAAATGGGCCTTACCTCCTCCCATTCCTGAGGACTACCCGCTGCAGCAGCAGCAGCGGCGGCAGCCATACGCTGGAGGCCCTTGGTGGCTGAAACGCAGCGAATTCATTACGCTGCACCAGCTACAGCAGCAGCTACAGCTACAGCAGCAGCAGCAGCAGCAGCAGGGTCTGCATGCGCGTTCGTCGTGTGGCAGCCTCGACGATTGCTCTTCTCCCACATCGCCAACGCCTACACAAACACCACCACAAGCACCATCATCAGTGGCAGCAGCAGCAGATGCTTCTCAAGACGAAGACACGGGAAGGTTGCTGCAGCGAGTTTGGCGTTGCATGGATGTGCATTTGCTGCCAGCAGTCTTCCATCAGAATCCGATCTGCAGGGAATCTGCACAGCGACTGCTGCTCCTGTTGCCGTTGCTGATAGGCAGCAGTGCAACAGAAATCCTGAGTCACAGCAATGCAGCAGCTGCTGCTACTGCTGCCTCAACAGCAGCAGCAGCTGCTGCTAATGGGGTGGAGGGCAGCAGCCCCGGAGTTACCGGTGAGGACAAACTACTGCTGCCACAACAGCAGCAACAGGGGGCATCAGCAAGTTCCCGCCACAGCAGCAACAGCACCAACCCCAACAGTAGCAGCAACAGCAGCAGTAGCAACAGCAACAACAACAACAACAGCTGGCCGCTGCTGAGAGTGCTGCGATGGGTAACACTGCGACACCTGCGGCTGCTATCTCCTTTGTGGCAATCGGCCTTTTTAGATTGTGTTTGTTTTGTTGCTGCTTTGCGGCCTTCTCCCCGTGGTCTTGTCCCTGGTAAAGCTGCTCTTGCAGCTGTTGGTGCTGCAGCAGCAGCTGCAGCAGCAGCTGCTGCTACAACTCCCGGTGCGCCGGAGGATCCAGCTGCAACTGGCACCGGCGCAGCAGCAGCTGCTGCTGCTGCCGTTGCTGCCGCTAATGCTGCAGCAGCAGATGGACTTACTGTCATCTGCTGGTTGTTGGACGACACTCTCGCTGTTGTTTACCGCGGCCTCCAGAGCTTTGCTGCTGCTGCTGCCACTGCTGCAGCAGCACAAGCTGCTGCTCTGGGTGTTGGTGGTGCAGCAGCAGCAGAATCGCATCACCAGCAACAGCAGCAACAACAGCAGCAACAGCAGCAGCAGCAGCAAGAACAGCAGCGAGATGGAGGCGGCACGCCACCTGCTGGTGCACCTCACAACAGCAGCAACTCCAACACCCCAGGCAGTGCCCAAAGCGCTACTGCAGCTGCGCCGTCCCCAGCAGGGGCAGCAGCAGCAACAACGGCCGCAGGAGCAACACCGACAGCAGCAGCAGCGGCAGCAACGGCGAAGCAAGCGCCTGCAGCTACAGGGGCTGTCCCGTCTATATCGGTTGAGGCGGATGCATTAAATGTACGTCAGACCCCAAACTGTAGACCCTAACATCGTGGCTGAACCAGATACTGTTCTGCTGTTGATAGCCTTGCATGCTGCTCTGTGGGGTAATGCTGCGCTGTTGCTGCTACTGCAGGCATTGCTGCTTGCAATCCGCTTCTTGAAGCTTGCTGTACTGCATGAAGACTGGAGGCCACTGTTGCTGCTGCCGCGGCTTCCGCTGCAGCAGCTGCTGCATGCAGCCCGGAAGGACCAGCCAGCTGCTGCTGCGCAGGTGGCAGGGCCAGCAGGCAACCCAAACAGCGGAACTACCAACAGTAGTTCTCTCAATGCAGCAGCAACCGCGGCAGCAGCAGCCGCTGCTGCTGCTGATGCTAGCGTCCCCTTCGTTATAACATCCGCCCCGCCCTTGGCGCCTGCGCTGCAGCACTGCGTCGTGGGCATTGCCAAGTAAGCAGCATCAACAATGGCAGCAGCAATAGCAGAAACAGCAACGGATGCTGTATGGAAGAGCAATAACCGTAGCGGAAGGCAAATGTTTTGTTGTGCTTTGGTGTGTCTTGTTGTTCTGCAGCTGCCTCTTCCTCCCCTTCGAGGACCTGTCGCGAGCAGCAATGCATGCGCTGAAGGTGCTGCTACAACACGAGCGAAACAGCAGCAGGAGCAGCAGCAGCAATTCTGGGAGCAGCAGACTGGTTGCTGCTGCGCTGGAGGATATTGTATGGCCTGCTGTTGAGCAACAGTTGGAGGCGGCGGTGGCGTCCTCAGCAGCAGGAGCAGCAGACCCTGTGGCAGCAGCAGCAGCAGTAGCAGCAGAACGCCTGGGAGCCGCTTTGCTGCCAAGCGAGAATTATCTTGTGGGGTTGCTGCAGGGGGTTTCGCGATTGCTGCACCTAAACCCTGATGCATGCATTCCTGAGAAGAGGCCCCTGCTGCAAAAACTGCTGCAGCAGCTGCTGCAGCATACCTTTGCTGTTGCTGCACTTGAAGGCTGCTACTCCTCATCTGTGGCATGCTGCGGTAGCAGCAGCACCAGCAGCAGCGGCAACACCCCAGCAGCAGTACGATTCCTGCACAGCGCTGCTCCCGAAGGCATTGCCGCCTCCTCTAACATATTGGTAGGTTTCAGAGGTTCAGTGGTTTTAGGGTTTTAGGATTTTCACGGTCTGCAGTTTTGGGTGTCTACGACGTCTTGAGTGTGAAGCTTTGCTAGCGTTTAGGGTTGAGTTTAAGGTTTAGAGTTTGTCACTGATGCTGTGCTGCAGGTCTGGCGCCCGGCGGCTGCATGCATAGCAGCTCTGGCTTTTATGCCTTCAACTGAAAACTTGCAGCAGCTGCTGCTGTCTTTGCTGCGGCCTTCCGGCAGCAGCAGCAACCCAACAGAGGCACAGCAGCTGCTGCAGCGGCTGCTGGCGTTGCAGTGTCCGCTGTATGCTGCACCCTTAAGTTCCCTCTTCAACCGATTTCCTGCTGATGCTGCTGCTGCACTTTTGCTGCCTTTGCTCACGGAGGCGGGACAGCAACATCTGCAGCAGCAGCAACAGCAGATGCAGCAGCAGCATCAAGTCTTCCAATACTGCAGCATGAAGGAGGCATTCCTCGAGGTGCTGCTGCAGCATCTGGAAATTACTTCGGCCCGGCCTTTGAGGTGAGCTCTGCTGGGGCTGAGTATGCTGCTGCTCATTTACTGTTGCTTCATTTACTGTTGCTGCTGCCGCATTTATTGTTGTTACTGCTGCATTTACTGTTGCTATTGCTGCACTCTCTGGTGCTGCTGCTGCAGGCTGGCGGTGCTGAGGCTTCTTCCTGAAATGAAATCAGCGCTGCGCTCGGAGATGGCGATCAGCAGCACGAGCAGCAGCAGCAGTTTGCGGTTTGCTGCTGTAACAGTCACACGGGTCTGCTTTGCGCTGCAGCAGGCTCATCCCGATCTCCTCTTTGCCGATTTCCTGCTGTCTTCGGCCATTCAGCAACAGCAGCAGCAGCAGCAGCAGAACGCGTCTCTAGTTGAGCTATTCTGTGAGTATTTAGACGCGGCTTCTGACGGGAGCCCTGTGCCGCAGGCGCAGGCGGTGGAAGCGGCAACAGCAGCAGCAGCAGCTGCTGCTGCTGCCTCACCTCCAGCAGAGAAGGGGGCAGCAGCAGCTGCTGCAGCGCTGACTGCAGCAGAAGATTACCACTTACAGGAAGCAGACAGGGAGGAGCTGCTGCTGCAGGCGAAGCAGCTTACAGCCTTCTTGCATTTTGCGGTGTCTCCGGAGCTGCAAGGAAAGGCCGACGCTTACTTACTGGGTTGGCTGCAGCAACAGCAACAGCAGCGGCAGCAGCAGCAACAACAGGAAGAGGTGCCAATGAGCTCTGGTGTATTTGTGGCCTTGATTAGGCAGCAGCAGCAGTTGCTGCAGCAGCAAACCATTGGGGTAATTCGTACACTTGTGCGGTGTTGCAGCATTGGCAGCACTGTCTCTCGTTTTTCTTTTGTACCCCTTTTGCTGCAGCAGCAAATCCTGCCGCAGCTGCTGCTGAGACAAAAGCAACGCCTCCTAATGACCTGCTTCGCAGAGCTGGAGGTGGCTGAGGCAGCAGCTGCGGCTGCAGCAGGAACTGCTCCCTCTGCTTCTGACAGCAGCCCTCCTCCAGGACCTGTTAAGGCGCTGCAGCTCTCCATGGTCGTCGAGCTCTTAGTGCAGCCGGTTCTTCGCGAGCTGCTCCAACCGCAAAGTAGCAGCAGTAGCAGAACTGACAGCAGCAACCCGGAGCAGCCTGTTGGGATGCTGTCTGCAGCAGATTCGAGGCTGCTGCTGCAGTTGCTCAGTGCTGCTGTCGTCAAACTCGAGCCGATCCTGAAGGCCCATGACTCCCTATGGTAATTCGAGGGTACAGGGTTTCGGGTTCGGGCGCCACCATCAGCCAACGCTTGTTCCTGGCCGCACAGTGTTGCTGCTCCAGCACGGCAGCTGCTGCATCCAGATTCATGCCTGTCTTCATTCTGTTGTTGCTGTTGTTCCTGCAGCATGGCCTTCTTGGAGACTGTTAGGGTGGCGGTGCGGCTGCTGCTGTACGACACTAAAGCGCGGCAGCAACTTCTGTCCTTTGCGTGGCGCACAGCGGTGAGTGTTTAGGGTTTAGCCTTCATCAGCTCAAGTGTAGGGTTCGTTGCTGGCTCGGAATTCTGAAAGGCATGGATGCGATTAACTGGAGCATACAGGGTTTATGGTTTAAATTTGAGGGCTTAGGGTTTATGGTTTATGGTTCATGGTTTGATCTGCGCAGTGTCAAGGCGACAGCATTGCCGTACAGCACATGGCGGTGCTCCTGTTGGCTGAGGTATCTAGACACCTGGCGCTGCAGCAGCAGCGGTTGCCGCTGCTGCTGCTGCAGTCCGTGTTATCATGGCAGGCTTCTCCCCGCCCTCAGTTGCTGCGTCGCGCTGCTGGTTTGCTGTTGCAGCAGCTTGTAGGGTTGCCTACTGTATTGCTGCCGCTGCAGCTAGAAGGGAGCAGCAGCGGTGGCAGTAGCAGCTATAACAGCAATAACAACGTCAGCGGCGTCGCCAACAACAGCAGCAGCAACACCAACAACGCCCGCCTTGCGCCTTCTTGGCTGCGGCTGCTGTTGCGTGCCTCTGGAGATATCCCGCTGCTGCAGTTCTTGAGAGTGACGCAACAGCACGAGCACATTTTATTCTTCTATCGGCATTCGGTGGTGCAGCTGCTGCTGGGGGCAGCGCAGCAGCTGGTGCATGTCAGCAGCAGCAGCAGCAACGCAGCCCCGGGGAAAACAGACAGCAGAAAGCATGTACTCGAAATCCTTGATATCTTTATCACGTGGGAGAGACGGGCTGTGCTGCTGCAGTTGCTCAACGGCAGCAAAGACAGCAGCAGTAACAGCAGCGCAGCAGCAGCGGACAAACGCCGTAGGCTGGACTCTGGAGAGCAGCAGCAGCAACAGGAGTCGCAGCAACAGGAGCACCAGCACCAGCAACAGGATGACATACTTGCAGACCTGCCAGCTGCATTGGCTCTATGCAGAGAGCAACAGCAGCAACAGCAGCAGCGGAAGGAGCTGAAGTTGCTGCAGCACATGGGGCAAGTAGTGTACGACAGCAGTGCAGCAATTGCGCAGCAGTTGAATATAGACTTGAAGCAGCAGCTGCAGCAACACGACTGGTGCAGCAGCACCACAGAGTGCAACCTCGTGATGCTGCTGCTGCTCCGCTGCTTAGCAACAAATCCCAAAGACCCAGCAGCAGCAGCTGCTGCGGCTGCAGGTGCTGTTGCTGCTCTCCCGAAGCTCGCGCTGCTGCTGCAGCTACACCCGCAAACGCCGCTGCCGCTGCAGCTCGTTTCAAGACTGTGCCAGCAGGCAAGTACACGGCTTTTAGGGTTTACGGTCTAGGGTTTAGGGTTTAGTATCTAAGATTCAGGGATTAGCGTCTGGATAAATGTTCCTGTATCTGCAGGTGTATGCGGAACCCGCGGCGGCAGCAGTCGCAGCAGCAGGGCAGCAGCAGCTGCCACTAATTGATTTGCATGCTGCGCAGGACCAGCAGCAACAGCCGCAGCAGCAACAGCAGCTTCTGGTGGCACTGGCTGCAGCCCATGTTGCCGTTGAAAACAAGGGAGTAAACTGCACATGCAACGGCTGCAATAGCAGCAGCAGCAACAGCATCATCACCACCATTACCTGCAACAGCAGCATCAGTAGCAGCAACAGCAGCAGCAACAGCAGCAACAGCAGCAGCAACAGCAGCGTAGAAAATTCCATTTGTGCTTGGCGTGGGGGGCTGCGTAATGTGGTGCTGCTGCTGGGGACGTGCTGCAGCAGCAGCAACGCGAGGGTTTGCTCTTCTCTACAGCACTTAACTGCTAAGTTAGTGCTACTGCACCGCCCTTCCGCTGCCTATCTTGCTGCTGCTGGTGCTGGGTCAAAGGCCTTTGCTGCTTGGCGCAGCAGCAATAGCAACAGCAGCAGCAGCAACTGGTGGAGCGCGCCTCCCCCGCAACACTTGAGCCCCGAAGATCTCCTGTATGAGCGCATCGCTGCAGCAATTTCGACGGGTCAGAGCAGCAAGCCCTAAACCCTTAAACCTTCAGGCAGTCTTGCGAATTTCTAAACGTCACAACACTCGCAAACCCCTAAGATTATCAGTAAACCGTAAACCACAAACCCTTTGGTGGAGCACACGAATAGCACGAATAGTACACGAATAGCACGAATAGTGTGTGGGTCGAAAGAGGAATTTATGCTGGAGGGTTTAGTGTCTAAGGTTTGTCATGCAGGGCTGCGATCGCTGTCCAATCCTAAGGAGCGTTTGCTGCTACCAGGGGAGGGTTGTGAAATTAACAGCGTGCCGGTAAGTTACTGTGCCTATGGTTTAGTGTTAGGGCCTAGTAGGGTTTGCGCGCCAAAGTCTAGGGCTTAGTGCTTAGGGCCTATGTTTTTGGTCATTGGGTTTTTCCTGATGAACCTGTAGGTGCGGATGGCAGCAGCGGTGGCGCTGCTGCGGGGACTGATCAGCGGCTCAACAGCAGCAGCAGCAGCGGCAAAAGGCAAGCAGCAGCAGCAGGCGCAGCCGGATGAGGTGTACATACACCTGCGGCTGCTGTTTCCCCTTATGCACGAAGCTGCAGCAGACATCGCCCGAGGCGTTGCAGCGACAATACCGCATAGAAGGCCCTCCGTGTCGGATGCCCAACTCCGTACGCTCTTTGCTGTAGTCTCTCTGCTGCATTGGGAAAGCTCACTGGAGTTGAGGGTTCATTGTTCAGGACTTGTGGTTAGGCCGCATCCCTCGTTAGACACCTATCCGAAGGGGCATAGGGTTGAAGGTTTACGGTTGGGGTTTTGGGGTTTGCGTGCAGAGGAGACTGCGTTGGTACGTTGCTTCTTGTTTCTGACAACGATGTTGTCAACGTCTGCACACATGATATTGGGTGCTCGCGGCTCGGCAGCAGCAGCACAAGCTTCTGCTGCTGCTGCTGCTGCAGGGGATCCTTTGGCCACTGGAGCAGCAGCGGCAGCCGGTGCTGCGCCATTAAACGCAGCAGCAGAAAAGGCTGCTATGCTGCAGTCGCTGCACCGCGCGTTTGCTGCTTGCTGCTCGCCGCTGCATCCACTAGCTTTGGGATGTCTGAACACTGCAGCAAGGCTTGCCTTGGGTCCCTTCTTTTCCCAGCCACAGCAGAAGCAACAGCAGCAGCAGCACCAAGGATGTCTCTGCTGCAGGAGACGTGCTGCTGCTGCTGCTGCCGTCGCGAACCTCGCAGCAGTGCCCGGGGCGAGTTGGAGCGCTTGTAGAGGCAGCAGCTATGCAGCACAGCAGCAGCAGCATCAGAGAGATTTGCTGCAGCTAGAGGAAGTTCAGCTGTTGCGGCTTGAAATAAACCGAAGCACCAGCAGCAGAAGCAGCAGCAGCAGCGCTAGACAAGAGCTAGATGCAGTGGAACAAGAAGCAGCCGCTGCTGCGCGTTCTGCTGCTGCAGCCTTGCAGCACGTCGATGAGGAGCAGCAAGTGCGAACAAAGCGACGTCTCGGCAGCAGCAGCAGCATCAGCGGCAGTAAGGCCAGCGAAGCTGATGCATCAGCAGCAGAGGAAGCATCTCTAGATAATGAGGAGGCTCGAGCTGCTGCAGAGCAGGATTTGTATGGAGTTGACTTTTCTGCAGCACAGGAGCTGCCTGCTGAGGAGCAGCAACAGCAGCAGCAACAGCAGCAGCAGCAGCTTCACAGATGGGAAGAGGACCTGTGGAACACGATTGCAGCAGCAGCACCGCCGCAGCAGCAGCAACGCAAGAAGCAGCAGCTGCGTAGCCTTCCTACCCTTTACAGAAGCCTCAAAGATATGGGAGTCTATGATGCAGACACCGAAGCCTCCTGCTGCTCTTGCAGTAGCAGCAGCAGCAACGGTGACCGCATGCAGATGGACGGCGTACACAGCAGCGAGTGTTGCTGCATGCGCAGCAGCAGCAACAGCAGCAGCAACAGCAGCAAGGGTTTGTTTACTGTTGAGGAGCTGCAGCTTCTGCTAGGGGCTCTTGCACCTTTAGCTTCCCACCGCAGCTCGGAGGTTACGCTGCTGCTGCAGTGGTTAGCTGTTGTTTTTGCTGCTTCTCCTCCTCGTAGAGCTGCAGATTTCTTTGAGCGTACTCACATAGCTGCTGCAGCTCCTGCAGCTCCTGCTGCTGCAACACCAGCACTAGGTCCTGCTTTACTGCAGCAGCAAGTCAAGAATGAGCAACCAGCGGATACACCACCAAATCCTGCTGCTGCAGCTGCTGCAGCTCCTCCTGTTTTAGCTGCCCCTGCACCAGGAGGCCCTGCTGCAGACGCGCAGACCTCTGGCGTCGACGAGTCGCAGCTGCTGCCAGTCCCGCTGCTGCATGCATTGCTTCAGGCCACACAGTCTTCAGTGGCTGGCGTGCGTCGTGCAGCTCTCGTGCTGCTAGACCTGCAGCTGGTGCAGCAACACCGAGTGTATCTGCAGCAGCAGCGGCTGCCGCCTCGGCCCCTTGGGTGTGTAGACAAGCTGCAGATGCTGCTGTTGATGCCCCACTGGGGGGTTCTGTCCTCGCGCAATGTGCTGCACACAATTGTGTCTCTAATGCTGCTCAATGCCAGCAGCAGCAGCAACAGCAGCAGTGGCATTTTAAGTAGCATTGACTTGCTGTCGCAGCCGGCTTTGCCGCCTCGGCAGCTGCTGCGCGATGCTGCTGCTGCGCTGCTGCCGCCGTTGCTGCCGGAGCTGCAGCAGACCCCGACCCTCAACAGCGTGTGCGAGATCAGCGTGCTGCACCATATTCTACAGCAACAGCAGAAACAAGGTGAAGACGGTGCTGCTGCTGAGGGTGTCGCTGCTGTACCCCCGCTGGTGGCCCGTGGTATCGCTGCCTACTCTGCATGCGCGTCTCCGCAGCTGCAACAGCAGCAACAGGAGCAGCAGCAGCAGCAGCAGGAACAACCGCAGCAGCAGCAGAAGCAGGACGGGGCCTACAAGGTTGAGGTGTATCTGCAACTGCAGCGGTCTCAGCACCTGCCTGGGTTTAAGGAGTGGCAGCAATCCTTAGAATCCGCATTGCAGCAGCACGCCTTATTCTGCATGCAGCAGCTACTACCTCCTTCTCCTCCTCAACAGCAGCAGCAGCAGCAATTGTGCCGTCTGCAGGATGGGGAGAGCTTCTTTGGTGGCCTTGAGGTTGTCTCTTTCTTCTCAATCCCCTTAATGTCTTTCCTTCTTGCTGCTGTCTTAAAAGCCGCTTGGTCCATTGCCTCTGAGGAGCAGCGGGAGAATATATCTGAGGCTGTTGCTCTCTTCTTATCTCGGCAGATACACAGCAGCAGGTACAGCAGCAAACCCTAAACCCTAAATATACCCTAAATAAGCCCTACAAACCCACGCACCTTAAACACTGCAACGCCACTCCCGCTATCACTGCATCAATAACCACAAACCCTCTTGCAAGAACCCCGTGGAGCTGTAAAGGTTTTGCGGTGACTGTTCGAGGGTTTAGCACTAGTGTGCATTTTCGGTTTATGAGGGTTAGAGGTTAGGGTTTAGCCATGAGGGTTTAGGGTTAACGGTTTAGAATTTGATGGTTGTGTATGCAGTGGCGACGATGGCATATCGGGAGGGGACCCACATGCGAAGCAGCAGCAGCAGATGCTGCAGCGAGGCGGCAGCAGCAGCAGCAGCTGCAAGAGCCGCGTTTTGCAACCCTTCCTAGAGGCGCTGCTGCAGCTGGATCCGCTCCCGCTGCTGCCGGTTGATGTACTGCAGCACTTGGCGCTGCATTGCAACTGCAGCAGAGAATGCTTGCAGCTGCTGCAACACAGCTACCTGCATGCAGTCACTGCGTCGGCCGATGCAGCAGCAGCTGCTGCTGCAGCTTCTGCTGCTCCTGCAGGAGCAAAGTCACAACAACCACCCCAGCAGCAGCCCCAGCAGCAGCAACCCCAGCAACAGCAACAGCAGCAGCAGGCGAAGCAGGAAGATTCCTGTGTAGACTTCGGCCTGCGAAAGTATCGCTTCTTCGATGGCGACATCGAGCCAGAGAGAGACCCAGCTGCAGCAACAGCAGCAGCTGCTGCTGCAGCAGCTGTTGCTGAGGGACAGACCCCAGAAAGTGCAGCAACAGTGGCAGCATACAAAAAGCAGCAACAGCAGTACTCAAGTCTTGCTAGGAAGGCTGCTGCTGTAAGCTGAGCTGTTGTATATAAAGAAGGGGTTCCTTAGATTGTGTGGTGGTGTTGTTGCTAGGATTCAATGTTGCTGCGATCAAGGTTGTTGCCGCTGTTAGTAGGGTTTATTTTTTCTGTTTTCTGCCTCTGTTCTTTAGGGTTTAGGGTTTACGGTTGTTTGCGGGTGTTTGCTGTTGCTGCAGCACTTGGCTGAGGTGTATGCACACCTCGAGGAGACAGACTATAGGATTGGTGTTATAAACACTCGTGTGCAGTGTCTCCCCACAGTTACTGCTTTATCGTTAATGCAGCACAGTCACTTTGGTGCAGCGAAGAATGTTATTGTTGCTAACCTCAAGGCTCTTCAGGCGCAGGCAAGCACTCCCTGCCCCCTCAAACCCTAAACCCTACTACTCAAGCGGAGGGTACAAACTCCGCGCACTCTGCACGCTCAAGCAGGAAAACTGCTTCTATGGATTAGGACACAGGGATTAGGGTTTATGGTTTAGGGTTTTCTTGTACTTGTTTCCTTTTCCAGGGAATGCGTTTGGAAACGGAGGAGCGGAGAGAAGAGGTAACATGGTGGTGAGTTGTAAATGCAGATTTAGGGTTTAGAGATTAGGGTTTGGGTTGTGAGAAGGCGTAGCGGACGCGGTTGCGTGCATATTGCCCTACATGTAGTATGCGAACAACACGGGGGGTCTAGGGTTTACGGTCTAGAGTCTGGGGTTGCGTTTTGAGGCTTGAGTGTTTGTGCGCAGGGAGCGTCTGTGGATCGACTGCTGCCGCGAGTTGAATAGATGGAATTCTTTGCACGAAGTATCGCAGGCAGCCGCACGGAGATCTCGGCTGTCTCTGCAGTGTGCAGCAAAGCTGCAGCACTGGGGGGAGATCGATAGGCTGCTGCAGCTGCATCAGATAACAGAGCCTGCCACCAAACTCTGCCAGGTACATTAACTCGAGGGTTTAGGGTTTAGGGTTTACTGTTTTCACTCTAGGATTTGGTATGAGGCTTAGAGCTGAGTGCTTGGGTTTAGGGTTAGGGTTTATGTCTAGGATTTAAGGTGTAGTTGCGCTTCAGAGCGTAGGGTTTACGGGTTAGGGTTTAGGGTTTTGGATTTGGGGTTTGCAGACTTACCAATCGCTTCATGAAGTTTTATACCCCAAAGGCCAGTTGGAGACAGACTCCCGGCCTTGGATTCGGACGGAGAAGCTGCAGGTACACTCTAAACCCTAAACCCTAATTCTTAAGTTGTAAAACCGTAAGGTGGCAGTCGGAGAGTGCTCTGACCACAGCCGTCAGGTGAATGCTTCCCCACTGCCCTAGTGTTTACGGTTTAGGGTTTAGGGTTTATGGTTGTATGTTGCAGGAGATCGACATGCACTGCGCTGAAGTCCAGCGGCTGCTGTTGCAGTCTTGGAGAAGCCTGCCTCTCATCGTAAACCCTAAACCCTCGACCCTACAGAAAATCAATTTAAGGAGATGCTGTTCTACTTTGGCGCATGCTGCCGATCGCTTCTTACCCTTGGCTGCAGTTGCAGAGCACTCCTTGACTTGGGCTTAGGGTTTACTAGGGTTTACGTTTTAGGGTTTAGGGTATGTTTGTTTCTGCAGCCGACCGAAGCTCACGTGCCGCTGCTGCTGCAGTTCCAGCTGTACGTGGAGCTGCTTGAGGGTTACAAACTTATTCTTCATCTCGCCAAGAAGATGAGTAGCCCAGGTGTGTTTCGCGATCTAGGGTTTAGGGTTTACAGTCAGGGGTCTAGGGTTCGGAGTCAAGAGGGTGTAACACAGAGGCAACAGTGGTGGAGGGGAATTTTTTGTGTACCCTCTGTGGAGTTTCGTGTGTACACTGGGGTTACGTTTCTAGTGTGAAGGGTCAAGGGTTTAGGGTTTAGGGTTTGTGGTGCCAGGCGAGGTGCCGCTTGTGCGGACAACTTTGAATGCATGGAGGGATCGTCTGCCAAACGACTGCGACGCGATTAGTTGTTGGAACGACCTCTTTGTTTGGTAAGTGAAGGGTTTAGGGTTTAGGGTTTAGGGTTTAGGGTTTGTGATTTCCTTGCATTGAGCGTATCCGCTGGTCCCGTACCCGTTGGTCGTGTTGTATACTATTAGTAGGGTTCCGGCTGTAGGAGCCCTTGTTCTCAAGGTCTCCTAAGGTTGAAGTGTTTAGGGTTTATTATGTTTCTGGTTTATTAGGGTTTGCTAGGGCTTATTAGGTTTTACGGTTTAGGGTTTGTGGTGTATAATGTATGTATGTGTATATCTCTACAGGCGTAATTTCGTGTTTAGTATTGTACAGTCTGCAGTATCTGCCTCTCCTCATCTATCAAGAGAAGAGAAGAAATTTTTGCCTCCTTTCTTACAAGATTTACCCTGGACAATGTTACGTTTTGCTGCTATTACAAGAAGTGCTCACGAATTAAGAGATATTTCTTTGGCGCTTCTTATTAAACTTCAGCATCTACCAGCATTCAATCAGCCCGCCTATGCACAGGAGCACCTACAGGCACTGGTATATATGAATGTATTCTTATTTATACTTATACTTTTTTTATTTATATATTTAAATATATTCTATTTGTATATTTATGTTTATTTTTCTTCTCATTTTTATTATAATTAGAATTGGATAGTCGTAATGATGCTGCCGCTTATCTTCATACTGATATGCATGATGGTGCTCCTGTTCTGTGTTTATATTGATGCTGTTGCTGCTGCTGTTGCTGCTGCAGCAGAGGTGGAACTCCATGGGTACTCCCTCTGCTCAGTGTTCCTCGTATTTGTATCTTGGCTGAGTTCAATATTTAGGGTTTAGGGTTTAGGGTTTGGAGTGTTGCTGTGGCTGCAGGTGGAGAAGGCAAAACTGTGCCTGGATGAACCATCGCATTGGGTCGCTGGTAAGATTAGCATTCGCTTGTGCTACTGCTGCTGCTGCTGCTGCTGCTGCTCATGTTATCATTTCTGCTGCTACAACTTCAGCATACTGCAGAAACTGTAATGCCACAGGTGTGGAGTATCATATGTTTGTGAAGTGACATCTGCACTGTTGCTGCTGCTGCTGCTGCTTCTGCTTGTTGCAGGTGTCCAGCTGCTGAATTCGTTAGACATGGAAGCTCTCTCCGAGGGCCCTCAGTGGCAGCAACCGCAGCTGCAGCAGCAAAGTCTGCAGCTGCTGCTGCTTAAAGCGAAGCTGCTGCATCGTTTGCATGCCTCTAATGAGCCGGAACAACACCCGGGGTTGTCTAGGGACGGTAGGTTTGCTATTGCTGCTGCTGCTGCTGCTGCTGCTTCTCTACGCGTCAGGGGCTTCCTGTGCAGGTAGATATTGCTGCGGCAGCCGGCCTAGTTGCAGGTGCACCAACAGCAATTGTATATATTATCAAATATGCTGCTGTTGTGTTGCTGCTTCTTTCTTCTGCAGAGCTTGCACAGGAAGCGGAGTCGGTGCTGCGCACCGTTTTGCTGCTGCAGCCGTTGTATGGCCCTGCTTGGTTGTGCTGGGCAAAGCTGCATGACACCTTATTCTTAGCTGCATTGAAGCAGCGGCACCAGCAGCAACAGATGCAACAGCAGCAACAGCAGCAGCAGATGTTGCTGCTGCAGCGGCAACAACAGCAATCCATGCAAAACCAGTCAATGCAGCAGGACAGTGTCGACGGCAACAGCAGCACCAGCACCAGCAACACCACCAGCAGCAGCAAGAATGATGCCAGTTTTGCAGAGCCAACTCCAACCGACTGGGCGGCGCTGCAGCTGCACCTGGCAGCAGCAGTAACAGGATACGTGATGGACATACAGCTCAGGTACTCAGGTTTTATGGTTTTAGTTTCAGGATTTAGGGCTTTAGTTTCAGGGCTTAGGGTTTACTAGCTAGGGTTTACGGTGTGCAGTTTAGGGTTTACATTCTAGGGTTTGGGTGTTTGAATGCAGACCTGCTAAGAGTTCTCTGTACATGTCTCGCGTTCTGTGGCTGTTGTCCTACGACGGAGACACGCGCCCGCCTACCCCCACGGCAGCAGCAGCAGCAGCAACAGCAGCAGCAGCAGCAGCCGCGGCAGCAGCCCCGTTAGATCCCTCAGCAGCCGTCGCAGCTGCTGCTGCTGGAACTCCTGTTGATGCTTCTGCCGGCCCAGGAGCAGCAGCTGCGGCTGCTGCTGGATTGACGTCCCCTGCTGCCCCGAGCGACACGACGCAGTCCCCCGGTGCAGCAGCAGCTGGGCCATCTGCAACAGGAGGAGCTCCATCTGCAGCGGCAGCAGCAGGCAAAGAATCTTCGCTGTGCCTCCGAGTGTTTAGACAGCTGATGGCTAAGTGCACACAACCGCAGCAGCTGCTGCCATGGCTACCGCAAATGTTGACTGGACTTGATAGGCCGGTACGGCTGTTGCTGCTGCTGCTGGTGTGGCTTGGTAGTGCTGCAGTTAGTGCTGCTGCTTCGTATTTAGTTTGTCTTGCTTCTAGCGCTTGTTATGTGCTGTTTTTGTCGCGAAGGGTTTGTTGTGCCCTGCTGTTGCAACTGCTGCTTCTGCTGCTGGTGGTGGTGCTTTCAGGAAGCGGCGGAGCTGGAGCGGCTGCTGTACGCGCTGCTTCTGCAGGCGCCGCAGCAGCTGTACTTCGATATTAGGACGGCTTATTTGGAGAAGAGGGAGCAGTATGCGCAGCAGCAACTCCTGCAGACCCTGAAGCCACCTCAGCAGCAACAGCAACAACAGCAGCAACAGCACCTACCGCAGCAGCAGCAAAGCCTTACGCTCCTCTCGTGGTTAATGACTGTCTTTAGGGCCTCGTTTACTCCCCAGTGCATCGCCCTCGACCATCTTGCAGGCAAGATGAACTGTTTAGTGTCTAATGTCTAGGGTTTAGGGCTTACCTATTAGGCTTTGCGGTTCTTGAGTTTAGGGTCTAGGGTTTAGGGTTTGCGTGTCTGTGTGTCTGTGTGTGTTGCGCAGAGGAGTTGGTTGCTCACGCGAAGCCATCAACAGTAGACGAGATAATATGTGCTGTTCGTACTTTGCTGCAGCAGTGCTTAGAGGTACCCCATGGCAGCAACACATTGCCATCTGTTGCTGCACAGTTCTTAAGGGTAAATATTGTTTCTCGATTTAAGAGTCGTTATGGTACAGAGCCTCCTCCTCTACCTCCTGGTAGTAGTAATAGTAGTACTGGAAGCAGCAGCAGTAACAGCAGCAGCGGCAGCAGCAAGAGCAGGAGAGGTGTTAGCAGCCGCAGCGGTTGCTGCTGCGGTGGTGCTGCTGCTGAGTCAACCCGTCGTGTGATGCGAAGTCTATGGCCGGTCTTTAAGGCGGACTTTGAATTTGCCGCATCTCCCGACCCTCCTCCAACCCCAACAAACAGCAGCAGCAGCAGCAGCAACAGCAGCAATAACAGCCCCAGCAGCAACAATAACGGCAGCAGCAATGTGGGCTTGTGTGAGGTTATTGCTAAGCTAAAGAGATGGAAAGATTATCTAACAGTGCATGCACAGAGTCAAGATCAGCAAGCCCCATTGGAGGATGTTGGTGCTTCTTTATGTGATGTATTTATGCGTGTTAGTGTAGAGATAGAGGTACCCGGTCTTCGTCTGCTGCAGCTAGTAGAGAGAGGTTTGCTGCTGCAGGGACCGCAGCAGCAGCGTCCTGCTGTATATATACAACAGTTTGGTACATCTTATACATGCGTAACTAGATCACATTATACACTAAAAAGAGTTGAATTTATTGCTAGTAATGGATGTAGTTATTGTTATCTTGTACAACCTTATACAACAGCCCATCAAAGGACAGAGCAGCGGCTGCTGTGTCTGCTGCTGCAGCTAAATCGTTTGCTGCTGCAGCATAATCCATCAAGACGTAGAGGTCTTACATTCCCTCTATCTGCTCAGGTGTCTATACACCCTAGATGCAGATTATTAGAGGATTCACCATCACAAGTAACGCTGCAGCAAATACTTAATGAGACATCAAGAGCAGCAGCAGATCCAGCAAAGACAGACCCTGATCTTCCTGTGCTGCTGCACCGTAAGATGATGACCTATGAGATCAATAATAAAATGTTGCAGCATGCATTACGTATACTCACAGAAAATAACAACAACAATACCATGCAGCAGCAAGGACAGCAGCAGCAGCAAGGGCAACAGCAACAGCAGCAAGGTCAGCAGCAGCAAGGGCAGCCTGCAACTGGACTACCGAACCAGCCTACCACTAATGCTGCCAATAGCAGCAACAGCAGCAACAATGGCAGTATGAGGAGGCTTCCGCAGCAGCTGATGCAGATTCTTACAGCTCCTGGTTTCTGTCAGGATAAGGAGCAGCAGCAACTCCTTGATCGTATACTCGAGCTGCAGCCGCTAGAACCTGTTGCTGCAGCAGCAGGGGATAGTTCTGCTGTTACTCCCGGTACGAATGCGTCAGCAGCTGACAATGCTGCTGGTGTGCAGAAGAATGGTGTTGCAGGATCAGCAGCAGATGGGCTCCCCAGGAGCAACAGCGAGAATGGCATCAACAGCAGCAGCAACAGCAGCAGCAACAACAACAGCAGCAGCAACAACAACACGATGAACGGCAGCAGCAATACATCAAGCCAAGGATCATCAGCACCCGTATATGACCAACAGCAGCAGCAAGAACAGCAACAACAACAACAACAACAGCAACAGCAAGAACAACAGCAACAACAACAATATCATCAACAACAGCAGCAGCACCAGCAGCATCAGCAGCAGCAACAACAGCAACAACAAGAACAACGATGGGTATCTGAATTTCAACGTAGTTGTCATATGGATGCAGCACAGAGTGTATATAATAATTTATGTGAATTAGTATTAGATAATATAATTCGTGTATATATACAGAAAAGAATAATATGTATAGAAGAATTGAATATATTTCGTCGTCAATTTACACAAAGTTATGGATTATATTGTATATTGAATTATTTATTTAGTATGTCAGATATAACACCATCAAAAATATTATTAGATATAGAAACAGGACAGATACAACAAGGAGAATTAAAGGCAACATATTGTTCATCTTCTTTTCTTCTTACTGCTGCTGATAGATTACCATTTCGTCTTACAAGAAATATTGAATTATTTATTGATGTATTTGGTAAGATTGGACTCTTACCTGCATCTATGTATACATTAGTTTGTTGTCTACAAAGATATTCTACACATTTCTCTAATGCTGCTGCTCTTCTTGTAAGAGATGATGTTACTTTCTTCTATAGACAGAAACAGCAGCAGCAGCAGCAGCAACATATTCTCCTGCAACAGCAACAACAGCAACAGCAACAGCAACAGAATAATGATAATATTAGCCCGCAGGCAGGGAATGGGCAACAACAACAACAAGTTTCTGCAGCAAGTAATAACAGTATCAACAGTAACATCAGCAACATTAGCAGCAACACATACAACAGCAACACCAGCAACATCAGCAACAGCAGCAGCAGCAGCAATTATAATAGTACAGAAGAAACTGTTGCTATTCGTCGTGTTGTTGATATCAATATCAGCAGAATATCCGAAATACTCAAAAGACTACAAGGAACACCACAACCTGCTGCTGAACCGAAAGTAAGCACATCAAGGGTTTAGGGTTTAGGGTTTAGGGTTTAGGGTTTAGATTTTGTGGTTGTTGATTTTTATACCTTATTTTTTTGGCGCGTCTTTGTCCATTATAATTTTTATCCGTATTTTTCTTGTTTATTTAATATTTTTTTTATTTTTTTCTTCTTTTTTGTGCTGCAGCCTGATCAGCTGCCTATTGACTCGCAAGTCGCTCTTCTCATCCGCATCGCCACCCGCAAGGATTTCCTCGCCACTGCTAAGCCCACATGGCAAGCTTGGTACTAGCCGCTAGCTAGCTAGCTAGCTAGCTAAATAGATAAATAGCTAGCTGGATAGCTGGACGGCTAACCAGCTGGCGCCTGCACCCCTCCCCTGTCTGCCAGTTTTAGCACCGCCTCGCTGCTGCTGCAGTTGGCATTGTAGTAGCCTACTGTACTGTAGCGAGCCAGCTAGCTAGTCAACTAGCTAGCCAGTTAGCTGATCGTCTGGCTAGCTAGCCAGCTAGCTAGCCAGCCTTTGCAGCTCAAACCCCCAGGGAATATTGTTTTTCTCTCGGGCAATGGGCCCTCCTTAACCGATTTAATTTAATTAAGGTGTATATACACCCCAATATAGTGTTTTGTTGCTAAACCCTACTTGCTAAACCCTAAACCCTAAAGCTCCTTAAGCACTAACTACCTTGCCAGCTATATGCCCAAGCAACTATGCGAGCTCAACAGCTATACTAGACAGCTAGCAAGCCAACTATAATATATAATATAATAATATAATAATATAAATAATATATAAAATAATCTAATAATATATATGTATATATGTATATATAAGTGTATAGAAACGTAGCCGTTGCACCCCGGCAGCAGAACTTCAGGTTTGTAGATAAAAAGATAAGCAGAGTCAGCAACAGAGCCGTCTGCACTTGGCTAGCTGCCAAGCCAGCTAGCTAGCTGGCTAGTTAGCTAGATAGCTAGCTAGCTAGCCAGCACCTCGTGACGTTACTTCCGCAGGCCAATCAGGAGGTTGTCCCGGCTAAGAGGAGGCTGACTGCCTCCTCCACTATCCCCGCTAGCTAGCTAGCTAGAGCGGCCCCCTCGGCAGCTTGCTAGGTAGCTATTAGCCAGCTGGCTAGCTGGCTAGCTGGCCTGCTAGCTAGCTGACTGGCCGAGGCAGAGGGACCATTAGACCGCAGCAGCAGCAGCTAGCGACGAGACCCTAAACAGCTAGCAGGCCAGGCAAAAACTCAGTCTAGCCAGGCAAACGCTACAGCTAGCCACGCGCCTGGCTAGCTAGCTGGCCGTCTAGCGCTACCCACCATCAGCTAGCTATACATACCTCCAGCTAGTCGCCTAGGAAAACACAAGCAGTTAGCCGGTTGGCTAGCCAGCCGAGAGGTCGGCTGCCCCCTTCTTTAGCTAGCTGGCTAGCAAAAAGCTAGCCAGTCAGTTAGGTGGCTAGCTTAGTCAGCTAGCTATATATATGTATATGCATATATATAGCTAGCTAGCTAGCTAGCTAGCTAGCTACGTTATGTAATAACATTTTCTTAACCTTCAACACTTTTTCTTGCTATAGCGCGAACTTTCTTCTTATATTCTTGAATATTATTTTTATACATATTCTATCAAGCACAACACCACAAACCCTAAACCCTAAACCCTAAACCCTCAATAACACAAACCCTAAACCCTAGGCAGACTTCCACCACCTCCCTTCCATGTCCTCTACTATCTAGGGTTTGCTGTTGTTAATTAAACTATAACACCGGATTAGGGTTTGTAGTGTTAGATCCAATTCTTGAGAATTAGGGTTTGCCTAGTAGATAAAAGGGTTTAGTATTTAGGGTTTAGGAATTAGGGTTTAGGGTTTAGGGTTTAGAATTTAAGGGCTCTCCCTCCTAGTATTGAGTATCCTCAACACCTAAAATGAGTGTATCTAAGTGAATATTAGGGTTTAGGATTTAGGGTTTATGAGGGTTTAGGGTTTAGGGTTTTTAAGGGTTTAGGGTTTATGAGGGTTTATGAGGGTTTATGAGGGTTTAGGGTATTGTTATGCATACAGCAGCATCAACATTAGCAGGTGATTCAATATTAGGCTCTCCTAGCATAGATATAACAGAGACAAGGATAGCCTCAACACCTAAGATAGGTCTCCATCTTTCTTCTGGTGTTTCTTGCTCATTAAACATATCTTGTCCAGGTGGATGTAATATACTTATACATACTCTACCATCAGGAAATACTTTATTTTATTCATTTATTTATTTATTTATGCATATTATTAACACACGCACAAAGACAAACAGAATAAGGTATTAAAAACACAACAAATTTTTATTTTTAATGGTGTATTATTATTTTAGGGTTTAGGGTTTAGGGTTTAGGGTTTGGGGTTTACGGGACGTAAATTAAAGAAAAAAGGACACAAATATATCAATAAATACACCATTATAACGCCATAAAGATAATAAAAATAATAAAAATAATAATAATAAATAATGAATACAAATAAATATAAATAAATATAAATAAATATAAATAAATAAATACAATTATTTATTTACCCCATAAAGACCATTTCTGGTGTACTATATAGATTAGTCATAAAATAAAGAAAAAAGGACATAAATACATCAATAAATACACAATTTTAACGAGCAAAAGAGAATAAATGCAATAAAAAGAAGAATAAAACAAAAAGATAAATAAAAAATAATAATATTGATGTATATATTTACGATTAGGATGTAACATATATTGTTGAAATAGGATATGGATGAGTCATAAAATAGAGAAAAGAAGAGATAAAGAGACAATTTAAACGGTTAAAAGAAAGAGAAAAGGAATAAAAAAACAAAATAAATAAATAAAATGAATAAATATATATATATAAATATATTTACCATTAGGATGCCACATATCTTGTTGAAATACCATTTCTGGTGGACTATTTGGAAAATCTTGAGGAAATTTTAATGATGCCTGAAAAATTCCACCCTCATAAAATGTATCTGGTGGACCTTCAAAGCAAATTCTCCAACTAAAAAAATTACTTTCATCATCTAGTCCAACAGAGCATCCACTTGGTGCATCACGTGATAATTCTGAAAAAAAAAATACACATTTTTCTATACATATTCTTTTCTTATTCTTTTTTATTATTCTATATTTATTCTTATCTTCTTATTCTTATTCTATTCGATAGACAGGAATAAGGCGAATATTTTAAATGGTTATGAGGTGGGGTTGGTGGTGGTAAGGAATAGAGCAGCAGCAGCAGCAACAACAACAGCAGCAGCAACAGTAGTAGTAGTAGTAGTAATGGGAATAGAGACAGGGAGTAAGCAAGGAAGAGCAGCAACAGCAACAGCAGCAGCAATAATAGCAGCAGCAACAGCAACAGCAACAGCAACAGCAACAGCAGCAGCAGCAACAACAAAAACAGTAGAATAAGAGAATAAAGGAAGAAAAGAAGAAAAAAAAGAGGAAAAAAAAGAAGAAAAAAAAAACAGGACTAACCAATAAATTGTTTTTTTAAGAGTTCCCTCGCTACGTTCGTCATTGCAGCAAAATAATTTATAAGACAAGAAAATAATTTCTTATAAATAGCAGCAGCTGCTGCTGCTGTTGCTGCTGCTGCTGCTGCTGCTGCTGTTGCTGCTGTTGCTGCTGCTGCTGCTGCAGTTTCTGTTGCTGTTCCTGTTGCTGTTGTTGCTGTTGCTGCTGGTAATATTTTATAGTAAGTAAATGATGGTATATAATGCTAGTGCTGCTGTAGCTGGTGCTGCAGTAGCTGGTGCTGCTGCTGCTGCTGCTGCTGCTGCTGCAGTTGCGGGTACACCAAGATAAAGAAGTTGTAAGGAATGGGGAGGCTAGCCCAGTAAATGTCGCTCTCTGCTGATGTGGCCTATCTGCTGCTGTTGCAGCAAAGACAGGAGCAGCAGCAGCAGCAGCAGCAGCAGCAAATGCAGCAAAATATAGCAGCAGCAGCAAAGAGGTTGCTGCTATACGTCTTCTGCTGCAGCAAGAAATTTATTTATATCCCCGTGTATTTGTTGTAGCTGCTGAATATACCCGACAAATCCGCATGCAAACAGCAGCCACAGCAGCAGCAGCAGCAGCAGTATATAGCAGCAGCAGCAGCAGCAGCAGCAGGCAAGGAACTGTCCTTTTGTCTATATATAAACACTAAATAAATAAACTTTATGAACTCGCATTCCTTTGTTTGCCTAAACAGAACAGAATTCAAACGTCTGCTGCACCGATGGCAGCAGCAGCAGCAGCAGCAGCTGCTGCTGCTGCTGCTGCTGCTGCTGCTGCTGTTGCTGTTGCCGCTGCTGCTGCCGCGGCTGCTGTCGCAGCAGCAGCAGCAGCAGCACTGGATGGTGCTGCTGCAGCAGCAGCAGCAGCAATTTATATTTGTGGGACTTTAATAAAAATGTTTTATTTATTATATTAAGCCAGGAGACATGAATGTGTCGTGCTGCTGCTGCTGCTGCTGCTGCTGCTGCTGCTGCTGCTGTTGCTGCTGCTGTTGCTGCTGCTGCT